TAAAACAACTCCAGTCATATGTAGCAAAGTTGTACAATGTATAGAGTGATGGGCCTGAAGTCAGGAAAATCTGAGTTCACATCTGGACTCAGAAAGGTATGACCTTGGGCAAGACACTTCTGTTTGCCTCATTTTCCTTTGAGGTAAAATGGAGCAACTATCTTGCAGGGTTGCTTTGAGGATCAAATGAGATAATATTTGCAAAGCACTTAACTGTACCTGGCACATAGAGGGATTATCATTACCTCTTTAAATGACCTATTGATGTTGAAAAATTAAGAAACTATCAACATCACCATATCCTAACCGTGTGGGATGCCACTTAAATTTAAAAAAATAAAACACAGAGGTATTCTAGGAGAAACAGAAAGTTAGTTTTTTATTATTATTATTTCAAGTCTCGAGATTTGGGTGTCCCTCCACCAGTATGATCTGATGAGGGGAGACAGAGTACAGGAGCTAAGAACCAAGTTAAATAGCCCCAGTGGGTAAAGTCCCCTCCCACCAACTGTTCATTACTCAAAACTCTAGCATACATCAAAGGAAATAGTATACATCTCTATATTTCTTAGTTTGCTGAGATAATGTCAAAGAAGCAATTAAAAATGTGCAGTCAAGCTAGACATTAGCCAGGTCACTCTGACAGAAATATATAGCTTATAGCTAAGTGCAGGGTGGAGGTTTCAGACTTAGCAAACTTTAACTACTAATGTGGCACTGGGAGAAAAGGGGACTTAGAGAAATCTGTACTTAACCCTATCCTACCTCCTGAACTTATTACCAGATTTAGAATAGTCTTATCCCAAACTTTAGTTACACTGAGAAGTCTTTACTGGGACATCCCATTCATAAGAAAGTTTGATCTCAGTGACTTTCCTTTTTATGAGTAACTACTTTCACCAATTTGGCCACTTCTTTATGATTTTGGTAGATAAGTCTTGTGTGGGACAGCGACCCCAACCCAAATTAAACTCAGAGACTTCTTAAAGTGGAAAGCAAAGGTTACCTTTATTACAATTTCTTGAGATGGCTGTCTGCTCCTCTGATATACATGGGGGGGGAGAGAGAGAGAGAGAGAGAGAGAGAGAGAGAGAGAGAGAGAGAGAGAGAGAGAGAGAGAGAGAGAGAGAGACCCCGCCTAAGGGGGGGGCACCTTATAAAAGCAAATCTCCACCCACCGCTATCCCTTACCCCCTTGACTGGGGGTGGGCTTACATTCTAAGCTTGAAAGTTTCTTCTTATCCCATTCCAGGCGAAATTCAAAGCCAAGGACAAAGGGCTCAGGTTGGGGGTGGGGCAGGGCTTATTCTTTCTGTTAAGTGCTTAAAAACAGGGTCTGAGTGGGGGAGGATTTTGAAAGTAGTAATCAAGAATTATTTGACCCTTTGAGGGACCTTCACTTCTGAGAGTTCATTTCTCACACTACCTTCTGAACTCATTACCTTAATTACACTGAGAAGTCTTCACTGGGACATCCCATTCAGTCTTACGGGGTTTCTTGAGGCATGAAGAGGTCTGATTTTTTTAGGGTCTCACATCCCTAGTAAGTGTCTGAGGTGGGATTTGAGCCCAGGTCTTCTCCACTTTAAGCCCAGCATTCTAGCATCTGTACCATATTGCCTCAAGGTAGTTTAGTAGATAAGTACTCAGCCTAAAGATACTTAAATCTCCTTGTGGCTTGAAAAGATAAGGCAGCCTAGGGCTTTCCAGTTTAGAATATAAATTCATTTGTAAAAATTTATGGGGGAGTACTATTGAATATTTTGGGACAAGTAGTGGAGGGTCACATAAATTTATAAAAAGCTTGACAAGAAACCCGGTTAACCTAGATCATCCTGAGAACTTTTGAGGATGAAACTGTTGAGGTCTAGAGGTTTAGGGGTGCTGGGACCCCAAAATATCCAGGGCAAAAGACATGGGTCCTGTCTTAAAGAATTCGACCCAAGCCTTCTTTCATCCAGAGAGAAGGTTTATTAAAGATCTGCCACATTGGCCAACTCTTAAGGAATCTGAACGTTTGTGAACTATTGGCTAAGTTCTTACAGAATCTGAGCACCTTAATGGGGACAAAGGTGGATTTTATATACAGAAAGGCAGTGAGCGGCATCTAGGAAGGATCTTGATAGGAGTGACTGGGAGGTCAAGAATAGGGTCTAGAAGGGTGGGAAGTAGTCAGGGGCCATTGGGAGGTAATAGACAGTGGAGGGCTGGGCTAAGTTAAGGGCTACAGAGAATAGAGAGATTGGGCATAGGGGAAAATGAAAGGCCATTTGATAGGACTATAGCCTCAGGGGAATGCCAGAGATCTCCTTGATCAAGTGAGAGAATTCAAAGAGAATCCCTTAGACAAATGGGACCCAAATTCTTTTTGGGGTAAGGGACAAAGGTCTCAGCTTGGGCCTGTATCCCATCAAAACTAGGAAAGTAAATACCAAAAAATGAAAAATGAGGTGGATAAAATTGTCACAATCTCTTTAACAAAACTACCTTTTCTGTGACAGTAGAGCCATCAGATTGATACTTATTGGTGTTGAGGTTTAGGATTGCTTGGACCCCAAAATCACAATATGTGGGTCTTGCTTGAAAGAATTCAACCAAAGACTTCTTTCAGCCAAAAACAAGGTTTATCAGAACATCCACTGTATTGGCCAGACTCTTAAGGAATCTGAACATTACTGAGCTATTGGCTAAATTATAAGAAATCTGAGCACCTTAATGGAGACAAGAAGGCCCTTATATACAGAAAGACCATGGGAGGGGGAGATATCATCATGTTTAATTTAAAAATGTATCTTGACAACTGTATTTCAATATAATTGTTTCCTTTGTAATCTTTATACTTAATTTTATGCATTTAAAAATATTCTGAGAAGATTGCCCAAGAGCTCTGTGACACAAACAGTAGGTGGTGAGGTCTTCTGGCTCTGGATTGTGTTTGGCCCCTTCTAAATAAAATCTTTAATCACTCAAAAAGAGCTTCACATAATTATTCATGTAGGAAATACCAAGTAGAAAAGAGTGCCTGTTATTCAGATTACAAGAAGCATTTAGTGGGGATACAGATAGAGTTAACTTATCAGTATCTGTATCTTAGGCTTTGAATATGAAAATGGAATTGGGCTGAAATCAATCAAAGAAAGGCCATGGGCTAGATTAGATTACATTTTGGGCAGTGCTTTTAGTGACCTCCAAGCATTAATTTGAAACAGAGATCTGTCTTTTTAACATAGCCAGTATTCTGGCTGTGGTGTCTGGCTGTGAGTCAAGGAATATATCACAGCTTTTGCCCAAAGAGAAATGGACAGATACATGGTGGACATAAATATGCTACATTTTTTTACCATATAGAAGAACTGTGTAACAGGATCTTGTGTTAGAAAAGATAGCATTGGAGAGGTGAAGAGATGTTTGAGATAAGGAAATGGGCTTGTCTTTATGGTAAAGAGTCTAATGGGCAGCTCATGCATTCTATTCAAATGTACATGATATCCAGAGATTTAAAAAAACCCTCTAGCAAGTGGAGCCTTATGGAGGATTTATAAGGGGAAGTGGGTAAGAAGGGTGAATTCATGGACATTTGTGGAAGTTGGATATAAAATGAGAATTATATTTCTCTGCCTAATTATTCAGGAAATAGAGGGAAAAGGACAGAACTTAGAAAGGGAAAGACTGATAGATATTTTGTACTAATGCAAAGCCAGTTGGTTAGGAAACATTTTTTCAAATCTGTTATATTTGAAATCATAACCTTAAGGTGTTATTAGCAGAAGCTTTCTCAGATAGGTAAATGACCTTATTTTATTAGGATACTTTGCAACATTAAGGAATATTTCAATTTCTTGGTTTTAAAGAAAGACCCTCTTGACCACAACCTAAATAAGGTTTGTGTGCAAAACCACCATTTGCTGTGGTAGGGGAGAGGCATGGGGAAGGTTCTTAAAATAGTTATTTCGAGGGCTAATGATAAGTGGTAAGTGGCATAGCTTTTATCTAAAAAAAAACAAAAAACAAAAATGCCCCAAGAGATGACTATCTTTTCTCTCAGGTGCAAGGAACTAAACTGTCCTTGGGTTTTTTTCAAGTTATTTAGGTAATCTTTTGAAAGTTATGGAATAGATCAATAAATATGTGTGCAGTGTTTGCTTTGTGCCTCTTACAGGAACAAATAAGTTTCATTGACTTCTATTATGAAATGTTCCTATAGCAGAGATTGGAATTAATGGAAATGAAAGCCCAGGGCATGATTAAGAGGTAGCTAATTTGTGGCATCAGGGATTATAGAGCTAGATATAAGGAGAATTAAGAATGTTGCATAAATTTTAGATTTATACTTATGCCAGGATTTTTACCCCACACCTACTCTACCTGTCTTTTTTCCTCGCCCTTTCTCTATCAGCATGGCAACATGACTGTTGTACATAAAGAGCAAGCCTCAAAATCAGAAGGCCTGGCTTCCAGTGGGGCTTCCTGACATACCTTAAGAAGCAGTTACTGATCTGCATTGGCAGAGAGTGTTTCCTCATCAGGAGTTCCCTATACTAGTGAAATCACAGGTCTTATTAAAAAATTCACCTTTCATCTCCACCTTCCATTGTATTTCTTCTGTGCCTGCCTGAAGAATCTCTTGATACCCTGCTAAAAGCTTCTGAACAGATTTAGAACCTCTTCTTTTGTTTGTGTACTTTAAAATGTCTAATGAGTACATTAAGTTCTGCTTAGTACTTGCCAGTACCGCCCTATCTTATAAATTCTTCTAGGTTTGAAAAGTGTACAACAGGAGCTTAAAATTAAGAATGCCTTCATATTCAGCCAGAGGTGGAAGGAATAGTCTCTAACCCTGACCAGTACCAGAAGTTCATCTTGGCCTTAGAAGAGAGAATATTTTGCCATTTATTAAGTGATAAATTAGATTTAAAATATTATACATTCATTGTATTTTATAGAGCTAGCTATAAAACATGCAAGTAATTTAGGTGATCTTTTTGTTTCTTTTTTTTTAGACTTCAAAATGACTTCCATATTGACTTGCACTTTCAGAAATCTACCTGTGACATCAACCTGGGCCAACAAATTCTGTAAGTTAAATTTTTACTTCTCTAAAAAACAAAACAAAACAAAAACCTTAAGATCTAAAAATTAGAAACTATTTTTCCATTTAAAAAATAAATTCATAATTATTTTTTTGTTTCAGCCCTAAGACCACTGAGCTATTCCTCCCAACCGCTGTCAACAGGTATAGTAGTCATTTGCATGCATTTTGGGGGATTCTAAATATTGAATTGTAAAATGGGTTGGGGAGGGGCAGCTTATTTATCATCATACCTCTGTGAAGAAAATCATCAAATTGTTATTATTTAGTTGTGCATATATAGTATCTAACTGGGTTCAGTTGTATTATGATGAGAAGGGGGAATCTGATTTGTGTTATGACAGTAGCTTACAGTACTAAGGCACTTAACACTTTATAAAGCTCCCTCCTTACTTGAAAACGTTTTGAGAGGCAGTGAAGTGTTGTCCCCATTTTATAGAAGCTAAGGCTTAGAGCTGAGGTGACTTGCCCATTGGCAGAACCAGGTCATGAACCCAGGTCTAAAGACTCCCAAGTCCAATGCTTTTTTCAGTACCCCATACTAAAGCATCTTGGGGACATCCTCATGGTCCAGTGTCTAGAACCTTGATGATTCTAGACCAGCTGATCTGTCCACATGTGGCCAAGTCCTGATATAATTGGCTTATACCATCCAAATCTTGTATGAGCCTGATTTATACCTAAAAACTGATTTATTTGTTTTAATCAGGAAACCGTTTCCTGATTGCCTAGTTACTGGAATACATATGTCCCACATTCAGGATACTCCCTTACAAATAACGAGATACCTAAAAAGCCAGATTTAATCATCTGAAGGTTTCTTAGTGAAGGTAGAATTATAGTGATATTGAAGAGGTCTAGGGGTTTTGGGGTGCTGGGACCCCAAGATCACGGTACTGGGCCCTGTCTGAAAGAATTCAACTCAAATCTTCTTCAGCCAGAGGAAAAGTTTATTAGTGGTAAATCATATAGGCCGGGTGATGCCCATAAGGATGAGCGGGCATGAGAGGTTCTCAGCCTTGTGGGCCTGAGATTCTCAGCATCTAAATGAGGTCCGAGGTGGATCTTAAATACTAAAGTAACTTTGGGTGGCCAGAGAAGGGGGTTGGGTAAAGGGTGTAGGTAACAATTCTAATTGGGGAGGTCAGCGAGATTGAATAGACAATGGAAATAGATAATGGAGGAACAGGAAAGCAGAAGTTTGAAAGGCATCAGCACAAAATCAAGGTGGGGCTAGGACTTTCAAAAGGAGACAAAGGAAGGCCTTTCTGGGGCCTGTAGACAAGAGGGAGCCTAAGGCTTTTAGGGCCTTTAATCTAATAAGATTAAAAGGTAAAGCTAAGGCTTTCAAAGGGAGATGAGGGTCTGGGGCCTGTGAGTCAGATTCCCTTTGAGGCAAAGGGTGAAGATCTTGGCTTGGGCCCCGCCCTCATCAATATTAGTTGATTTCATAAATCATATAATCATAGATTTAGAGCTGGAAGGGCCCTAAAAGATCTTGTGGTCCTTCCCCTTCATTTTTACAGATGAGGAAACAGCTTCAGAGAGGACAGTGATTTACTTACAGCCTTACGGCCTTTAACTCCAGAGCCAGTGTTTTTTCTACATTCCTTCACTTCCCCATTGCTCTTCACTATCTGCTATCATGAATTTGCCTTCCTATTAATAATGTATATGAGGCATTTTACAAACCCTACAATTCTATATAAATGCCAGTTATTATTAATATTGCTAATGGCTCTCCCAGATAAATGTCTTTTTTTAATAAAACATTTCTGAAAACACAGAAAATTTTCACCTTCAGATTTCTAGCTATGTGACATTAGTCAAGTCACTCAGCTCTCTTGGCTTCTGTTTCCTCATCTGTAAAAACAAGGAGGTTGTGATGGGGGCAGGGCCCAAGACAAGATTTTTGCCTTTGACCCAAAGGGAATCTGGCTCCCACTTGTCTACAGACCCCAGCTCTTATCTCCCCTTGAAAGCCCTAGCTTACCTTTAGATCTTATTCAGATGCACCTTCAACCCTTGCCCGAATAGAATCTGGCTCCTGTTGGTCTACCAGACCCAGAAAACCCTTAAACCTTCAAATTTCCTGATTCCCCTCATCTCCCTTTGAAAGCCTTAGCCTTACCTTTCAGTCTTATTCAGATCTGGCTCCCTTTTGTCTATAGGCCCCAGAAAGGCCTTCCTTACCGACTCCTCTTATCTCCTTTTGAAAGTCCTGGCCCCACCTTGGTTTTGTGCAGATGCCTTTCAGACTTCTGCCTTCCTGTTCCCTCCATTGTCTATTCCCATTGTCCATTCAATCTCTCCGACCTCCTCAATTAAGAGTTTTTACCTATACCCTTTTCCCAACCCCCTTCTCTGACCATCCAAAGTCACTTTAGTATTTAAGATCCACCCTAGCCCCCATTCAGAGGCTGAGAATCTCAGGCCCACAAGGCTGAGAACCAGTCATGCCCGCTTGTCTTTATGGGTGTCACCTGGTCAATGTGATTTATCGCTAATAAACTTTTCCTCTGGCTGAAGATTTGAGTTGAATTCATTCAGCAGGGCCTGGTACTGTGATCTTGAGGTCCCAGCACCCCAAAAGTCCTAGACCTCTTCAGTTGGACTAGATTTCTTAGGTTTCATTTAAATTATGCCAACATGTCAAAGTCCTGTGATTTTGTCAATGTGGGAACCTCTCTATAGGAGCAGCCTATTTATAATTTATAGTCTGGGAGAGGTTAAGTGACTTCTCTGGATCACACATCTAGCCAGTTGTTATTCAATTCAGTTTCCATTTAACAAATGTTTATTAAGCACCCTTTGTGTTTGATAGCTCTGGGGATACTTAAAGAGGAAACAATCCATATCCTCAGGAACTTTCCATTTTCTTGGGTACAGAGTGGTAACAAATTGGACCAGAGTCCAATTTAAGGGTCTCCAGTAGGTAGTGGCTCTGCATCTGAGCCTTATTTGAAGGGAAACAGTAGTTCCAAGGGGGCAGCCAGGTGGCCCAGTGGATGGAGTGCCAGGCTAGAAGTCAGGAAGATTTAAGCTTAGATGGAGCCTCAGACACTTACTGGCTGTGTGACCCTGAGGAAATCACTTAATCCCAGTTGCCTCAGTTTCCTTATCTTAAAATGAAATGGAGAAGCAAATGTCAAACCATTCCAGTACCTTTGCCAAGAAAACCCCAGGGGCAGCTAGGTGGTGCAGTGGATAGAGCACTGGTCTTGAAGTCAGGAGGACCTGAGTTCAAATCTGGCCTCAGAACAAACACTTGACACTAGCTGTGTGACCCTGGGCAAGTCACTTAACCCAATTGCCTTAAAACAAACCAACAAACAACAACAACAACAAAAACCCAGAACCCCAAAAGGAGTCATGAAGAGTTGGATGTTCTGGAAAATTACTAAACAACAACAAAGTTCTAAGATGTAGTGAGGTAAAGACAGAGAGCATTGCAGGCCTGCAGGAAAGGCAATTTGACTAGAGGGTGAATAAGAGTATAAGAGGGAAAGCAGTGGGCAGTTAGCCTGGAAAGACTAGAGCGAAAATGTGAAGGGTTTTCAATGTCAAACGGAGGAGGCTGAACTTTTCCTAGAGCCGTAAAGAAAGCAGGCTGACATTGGATTCTGTGATTTCTTTTTGTATTGACCCTGAGCTTCTTATTTCTCTTTCATTGCAACAACTTTACAATGATAATAACTGTCTGAGACAATCCAGAAAGAATTCCAGGCTTTTGCAAATAATGACTCCAGCCAAAAATCAAAGTACAGTTTGTGCATGTACACCCCAGTATAGCCTTCTGGACTTTTGTCAGACTTCTCTGCCACGTTAGCACACAAGGAGAGTAATAGACAGAATGGCAATGTCTTTTCTACCTTCATTTCTTCTTTGCGAAGGGGCAGTCCTGTGTGTGAAACATGGAATTGACCTGCTTTTTTCTCTCTTTTCTATATCCTTTGTCTCTGAAGATGATACACTAGGGAGTAGAGAAAGATACATTTGGAAATGAAGGGGGATATAAATGGAAGCTATCAATAATAGCATTCCAATAGAAAGAGTGAGCATAGATTGCTTTATAAGAGGTAGAAACTAGAGCACTGAATAAAAATAAACATCTCCATCTCCCAGCAAGAATACCTGCCTACTGCTATTAGCTGTGTTTCCAGGTGCATTCTCATTCTTCAGCATTGAATTTTATTTAGAATTATTATCAATACAGCAATAGGTATTTAAGCCAATTTCCTAGCCTGCTATTTTAGTTAATTAACAGTCAATAAACATTTATTAATGCATCTGTTACGTAACAGGCACTATGCTAAGTGCTGAGGATACTCATATAAAAAGGCAAGAAGGCCCTGCCTCTACTTAAACTCCAGTGAATTGCAGTTGCTTATAGGATCAAATATAAACTTGTGTTTGACAATTAAAGCCCTTTGCGACCTGGCCCTAATCTACCTTTTCAGCATTATACTCCTTATGCTTCTTTTTTCATTCACTGTACTTCTATCCCTACCACAGTACTTGGCACATAGTAGGTCTTAATAAATGTTTGTCAGACTGACTGATTGAGTTGCCCATTCTGCAGTTCAGCCAAACTAATCTTTTTTGATGTTCCTTGTGTACTCTCTCATCTCCTTGGTTTTGTCTGTCATCTCCTGAGATGCCCTCCCTCTTTATCTTCAACTCTTAGAATCATTTCGAGTTGTTTCCACAACTCGGCTCAGGTGCCACTTAATATCCTCAATATGCTGTTGCCTTCCCCACCCCTACCCCTGCCAAAAAATAATTTCCTTGCATCTGTTTTGTGTATACTTATATGTTGTCTCCCTAGACTGGGGTGGGTCTTCACAGAACAATTTGAATTCAGTCAAAGGGCTGCACTTGAGGATCTAGAGGGCCACATGTAGCCTTGAGGCCACAGGTTCCCCACCCCTGCCCTAGATGGAATGTACATTCTTTGAGGGTTGGGTATGTTTCACTTTCATCTTTGTATCTCTTGCACCTGTCAGAATGTGTTGGCACATAATAGGTGCTTAATAAATGCTTGTTGAATGATTCATTCCTGGATTACCCTTCAAAACTCTTGGGAAAGACTGTTAATTTGTTTTTTAGTTGATTGTTTGTTGAATTTTATCTTAAAGCTGTACAGACCCAAAGTAAGAAGACCTTAACCAAGCCCAATGTAAAGAATGTTGTGGTGGTGGACGGGGTGCGAATTCCCTTTCTGCTGTCTGGCACTTCGTAAGTATGAAATTATCATGTTACTTCCTTTTTCTAAGACAGCCACAAATGGTTGTTGGTGGTGGTGGACTGATGTCTTCATTTTAATTGGAACAGAGTAATTCTCAAATAGCTTAGAAAGAATAGGATTCTGACATTCTGTAGGTCACCTGAGACAGAAATCTTCCAGAATGTTGGAAGCCAGAGTGAAATGTAACAAATTGAAGAGCACTTTGACTCACTTCCTATCTAAAATTATACTGGCTTCAACTGAGCCTTTAGATTGTGGAACCTCAGCCTTAGCTGTCTAACTAGCTCTGAAGAGACCAGATTAGTTTGGGCCACTGATCTTGGACTCAAGGTGGCTCCAGGGGCATTGTGGGCTGAAGACTGTCCTAGGCTGCCTGAAGTTTTTGATCAGTAGAGGAGATTCAGAAATGGTCTGAACCTTTCAGTATCTGGCTCCCTCTTGGTCTAAACACATGGGATTTGGCTGGATTGTATTGAGTCAAATGATTATTCACCTTGCTGTTTCTGCTCCTTTTCAGTAAAAGGCCTAGTTAGGTCAGAAGAGAGCAGATAAAAATCTGTGCAGAGTAGAAGAGATCTAAACTAATACAAGTCTGTTCAGATTCAGTTAAAAGAGTAATTTATCAGGTTTTGTTCTGGTTTGGGGGTAGGAAGTCCCTGTTTTATAAGTGTCTTGTGTTATAAGCTTTGAGAAGTCAAACGTGAAGTTGATTTCATTTTCCTTTAGAAACAATGTTGTGAATAGTAAAGTTTCTAGGGTAGCCCATGGAAGTCTGTTTCACCAAAATTGTATCTGAACAATAGCACTTAGCGTAACCATGTAAGCACTATATATAACATCACACTAAGTTCTAGCAAGAATAATTTCTAGCAACAATTTCTACCTTGTACTGCCACAAACCCTGATGCGGCTCTGGCAAGAGATGGCTTCCTTCTTTCAGTCCTGGGCCTTTGGACAGTGGGGAGAGATAGATACCACACATTCTCAGTTGCCCCTCCCTAAGGACTTTATGCCCGGATAGGTCTTGTTCAGATGGTTCTTTAACTTCAGGTAGGGGTCAGGCCAGGGGATTGCTTTTTTAAACTTTGGTTCAATTCAGGGTTCACCAAAAGTTAACATTTGCTTTGGATTTGCTTTGGTTTCAGCAGATTGGTAGACTTTTATTTCACAATTTAGTTCAAGTCCTTGATTGAGGAGGAATTGAAGGATGAATTAGGCATCTAATTCTCCACTGCTAAGATGCCTTCACTAATGGGAGATGGTGGGGGAGAGGAGAAAAAAGTTCTCTCCTCCACTACCTCTGCCGAGGGGCCTCACTCTAGCACTGCTCTAAGCTTTGACCACTTCCTCAAAGTTTAGCTATTTAAAGTCCTCTGGGAGTAACTAATTTTCTTTCACCAATGAAATTGTTTCTTTTTTCATTCCTTCCTTAGGTGTTCACTTCTGATAAAGGGATCAGAGACTAGAACTCAATTTAACACCTCCTGTGAGAGATTAGCTGCAGGCTGGAGGCTAGGATTAGGGGAAGAACTGCCTGCTTTACTTTGTTTTGGTTGAAATAATGAATGAGTTTTCCAAAAGCACATATCAAAGATAGGGATTTGAGAAGTGCACAGACTTTACCTGTGTAAAAATATTTATGCAGCTCTTACCCACGCACCCCACCCCCTGGAGGAAATATAAAGATCAGAATAAATTATATTGGCTTCTTTTCCTGCTTGCCTGGAAATAAATTGCCATTCATTGCAAGTGGCTGGTTGTTGAGAATGTTAGATCCAAAATAGAGGTAGAGAATTGTCCAGCAAAAGCATTTAGGAATAGACTTAAGAAGACTAAAGAGAAGATGAATCCGATTAACCTGGTGTGTATTGTGTGTTTGTGTCAGTGAGTGGAATAGAGTAATAAAGGTTACACAATTCTAAACAGACAAATAGTTTTGGCACTTTAATATTGGTACGCTTAAGAGTTTGTCAAATTCTTCTACGATTAAGAATGAAAGGATGAGGTTAGCTTTGAAAGTTACAGTTATTGGTTGCTCTCTGATCCAAAGGATGATTTCAAGAAATTCATAGCCATTGAGTCTCCCATTACAAACTTAAATTAACACAGAGCCTTGTCTGCAAAGGTTGAGACTACCCTTAGAGAATTTTTAGTGTTTCGTGCTTAATAATATTGATACAAAGTACATTTATTTTGTGCTTATTCTGTGCCAGGCCCTGTTCCTAGGGGGCAGAGCTGTTGGTCAAGAGATAGAGTGAAATTAACATGACTGGAACCCCTCATGAAATGGTGCACTGTCCAGGGACCAACCAATCAGGGGAGCAGGACCTAGGGCAGAGGCAACCTGGGGTAGTGGTGGGGGGTGGGGGTGGGGGGGAGAAGGTACTGCATACAGCCATGTTTTTGTTAATTCTTTATGTAAGTGTTCAGTACCAGTTGAAGTTTTCTGGAGCTTAGCTTATCACATCACTTCACCCTAGTTTCCTCAGCAGTAAAATGAAGATAAATAATATATATGGTGCCTCCCTGATGGCATTGGGTGGGAAGGCTTCGTAAGCTGGAGAGGGCTGTATAAATGTGAGCTCTCCTCTTGATCTTCTTGAAGTGAAAGATCTTGGTGTTAAATTAGTGTATTTTATTATCCCCAGATACAAAGATCTGATGCCACATGATTTGGCCAGAGCAGCACTTAAGTAAGTAGAACCTCTTTGTTCATTCATTTGATCTTTCCATCCTCCCTCCAACCCTTCCTTCCTTATTTCTCTTTTTCAAACTTGCCATTTTGCTTTGTCCCTTTAACAAGAATGCCACATATATAGTATAGTTTTAAAATGACTGTATCTAAAAAGTCAGTTCTTCAGTTTCTATGCAATCCATTTCAAAGGTCTATTGATTTTTCCTTCACAACATCCTGCTCCTTCTCCTTTACTACTCACAGCTGCTACCCTATTTCCAATCCTTGTTGCCTTTTGACTGGACTCTAGCAATAGCCTCCTAATTGGCCTTCTTGTTTCTAGTCTTTCCCCTTTCCAGTCCTTTCTCCATACATCTACCAAAATAATCTTCCTAAAGCACAGGTCCAGCTATGTGACTACCCTGATCACAAATGTTCAAAGGCCTATTCCCTGTAGTGTAAAGTTCACCTTATTCACTTTGGCATTGAAAGCCTCTTATAATCTACATATGGCTTATCTTTCCAGACTTACTTCACATTCCTCCTTTTTATCCACTCTATATTTCAGCCAGACTAGCCTTGCTGTCCCTTGCATTTGACATTCTATCTCAGATTCCATGCCTGTGCATTATTTGTTCCCCATGCCTATATGTCTTTCTTGCCTCCTCCTCTCCACCTTTTGGTATCCTTGGTTCCCTTCAAAACTTGGCCAAAATACCGTCTTCTGTGAAAAGCCTTTCCTAATCCCCATGATTAATGCTCTCTCCTTTAAGTCACCTTGTATTGACTTCTCCTTAGGCATTCTCTGTCCTCTCCCTGTCTGTGCAGATGTCCTATTCTCTGTTCATTGCCCATACCCCAATAAGATAATAAGCTCCTTGAGGGCAGGGAACATTTTGTTTTTAATCCTTACATTCCCATTGTATGGTAGTTGCGCGTAGTTAATAAATTTCTCAATTGAATTGAAAACTTTTAGCTTTTAGGATATTCTGTTATTTTTTCATTTAGTAAATTAAGTTGCAAATTTAATATAAATAAACCCTTGCCCAGAACTCACAGAAATGTTTGTGAGATAGAGGAGTTATCCCATACTGTGCATCTCCATATGTCAGCTGTGTCATAAGTACTGTTGTGCTTCAGGAACTCACTGGAGTGCATAGCTCTCCTATACTATAGCTAACTCAACCAACAGAAGATCTGATACATAACTGCCCTTTGTGAGGCTTGGCAGACTCCCCTTCAGTGTGTTCACAAAGTAGATTCTCAGTATTCTTGAACTGTTTTAACTAAGAAAGATACCAAGCATGAGGTATCATGAAGTGTTTGGATCAGTATTCTCTTTAAATGAGGATGTTCAAACAAAACACAAATTTGCTAATCTGATGATGTTTCTAGATAATCACCACTTTGGTATATCTTGTAAACAGTAGGAAGAATTATTGTAGTTACAGAAACTTTAACAAACTATACAGATAGTAACTTTTCAAAAGCCAGTGTAAATGCCATCTGCTTCACGGGTCTTTTTGTGAACATTTCAACCCAATGTGACCTCTTCCTTCTCTGAATTATAATAGCATTTATTAGCTTTAATATGTATAATTTAGCTAGATGTATATAAATATATCCCAGCAAATATTGTATACATTATATTCATCGTATACATTTCTATCCTATGGGTCAAGAATCCCAGAGAGATCAAAGAGCTATTGTAAGCCTGGGGATCTAATAAGTATACAAAGCATTGTCATTTTGATCTTTATTTAGTTTCAACAAAATATTCCTTATGACCAAGAGCTATAAATAATCATACAATGGGCAGGTAGAAATCGTTCACATACACAAATAATTCTCAGTAATACTGTCAGGAGGTTAACTTTTTTCATTTGGGTGAATTTAAAAGTTTATAGGATAGGGCAGGTAGGTGGTACAGTAGATAGAGCACGGACCCTGTAATAACAAGGATCTGAGTTCAAATCCAGCCTCATACTTACTAGCTGTGTGATTCTGGGCAATTCACTTAACCCCAATTGCTGCAAAAAAAAAAAGTTATAGTATAACATTTGAGGCCAGTAAATAGATCTCCAGTTTTTGTGAACATTCATTAGGAAAATAGGAGTTACTAGAAATTCTATTTACAAATACTTTTTGGCATTCCATCTGTTTTGTTAAGTAAAGAATATCTGTACTTTTGGATTATGGAACAGTATATAACAACATGCTTTCCTTTAATATTGAGTTAGTATGACAGAGAAATCTAGCAGAATTTATGTTTGTGCGTATACACACATATACACACACACACAAACATACGTACACATATTTATCTTTGTGGCCATTATTTAAATTTAGGCATAAACTTCCATTTGTAATTTTACAGATATATGCTACCCAACTGCTTAATAGAATTTATTATCATTTTCATTTAAATATTCAGTTCCCAGAATTTATATTCTGTTGAACATTTTGTTCGAAATGTTAGCCAGCACAAGAATATTCTCCCTTATTTCCCATAGTCAGAGACATTATCTCAGGAAGAAATTTTTACCATTTGGGAAAAGTGCCACTTGGTCCTTCCTATCCTGTATCCCCTATTCATATGGTTGAACTAAGGATTACTTTAAGAATAGAATACACATTTTTGATTTTTTTTTTCTTTTCAGGGGCTTGTTACATCGAACCAGTATCCCAAAGGATAGTGTTGATTATATTGTCTATGGTACAGTTATCCAGGAAGTGAAAACAAGTAATGTTGCTCGAGAGGTAAGTAAAACAAAGCTGTATAGCTAGTAAGTTTCATAGGATTTTCAGTTGACTGGTTTTCATATTTTTAAAAGGTTTACATAGTTCATTTAACTTGAAAATAAAATAATGTCAAATATTAAATAATAATTTTGATTCTTAAAATCCCTAATATATATTGATACTCTGAACCACAGTACTATTCTAACGAAACCTGAGCAAGGAAGGAGATAGAGGTGACATGCAACTTGTAATGGATATTCAAAAATATAAAACACCCAAACTAATAGAACACCAAATAGAGATCTTATATAATCCAATCTGAGAAAAAGAAATAGAACTACTTGTAAAGGAACTACCAAAGAAAATATATCTTTGTCCAGATAGATTCACTGGAGAATTCTATCAAAATTTTAAAGACCAATTAGTTTCATTGCTCATTGTTATCAAAAATTGAGAAAGAAAGCACCATATCCTGTACTTTTGTGAGACAAATATAGTCTTCCTACCTAAAGTAGGAAGGATAAAGCACAGAAAGAGAACTGTAGACTCATACTGTTAATGAATACTGATTCAAAATTGTAAATAAAATCCTTTCGGACAGATTATAGTGATTCATCCAAGAAATCATTCATCATGACCAAGTTGGGTTTATACCAAGGATGCAAGGAGGATTCAACATAAGGAAAATGATTAATATAATTAATCATGTTAAAACAAAAAATTCTAAAACTACATGTTTATCTCAATATTTGCAGAAAAAGCCTTTGACAAAAGTATAGTACCCATTTATGCCAAAAAACCTATAAAGTATAGGCATAGAGGGACCTTTTTAAAAAATATCATGAAAAATATTTATCTAAAAAAGCAAGTATCATATCCAGTGGAGATTCCCTAGAAATTTTCCCGGCAAATATAGGAGTAAAAGCAAGAATGCCCATTTTTCCCACTGTTATTTGATAAAATTCTAGAAATGCTAGCAATGGTAACAGGACAAAAATAGGTAAAGAGGAGATAAAACTATCCCTATTTGTTGATGACATGTTAATTTTCTTAGGAAATGCTAGGGAATTAGCAAAGAAACTCATTAAAATGACTAATAGCTTCAGCAAAGTTGCGTGCTACAAAATAAACTCTCAAAAATCAGTGTTTTTATATAACACATCTAAGAAGCAATAATAAAAAAGGGAGAGCTAATTCCAAATAACTACAAAATGTATAAAATATCTGAGGAGCAATCTGCCAAAGCACACAGTACTGATATGGATTTAGTTGCCAAGTGTTCCCTAAAGAAATATAGAACTATCTAAATAGCTAGAGGATATCCAGGGCTCATGATTAAGATGTGCCAATGTAATAAAAATGACTATTTCCAAAGTTAATTTATAGTTTTAATGCTATACCAGTCACATTGTCAAAGGGATGTTCTATAGAACTTGACAAAATAATATAATAACAAAGTTTATTTGGAAAAGTAAAAGATCTAGGAAGGGAGGATAAAGTAGCCTTTCAAATTTCAAACTATATTATAAAGCAGCAGTCATCAAAACTATCTGTGATTGGTTGAAAAATAGAGAGGTAGATCAATGGAACAGACTGAACAAGGGAGAATCAGAAACAATAGATCTCAATAACTCAGAATGTGATAAAGTGGAATACCTAAATGACTTAGGAAAGTTAAAACTGTTCGGAAAACTGGAAAGTAATCTAGCAGAAATTAGGCTTAGACCAACACCTTAACATCATATTCCACAATACAGTCGAAATGAATACATGATTTATTATTAAAAATCATACCATTAAAAAAATTAGAACAGAAGCAGATCATATACTTTTCACAGCTGTGGAGTAGGAGATATATTTTTAATCAAACAAGAGACAGAGACCATTACACAAGATAAAATAAATAACTTTGATTATATGAAGCTCGTAGGCTTTTGCACAAACTTTTAAAGGTTAGTTAATTGCTTACTTTGATCTGACCAACCCAAATCATACTTTTAGTTTTCTGTCCTTTTAGTGTACATTACAGGGTTGAATGTTGACTTTAAAAGGAACAAGCAACATTACCTAACATCTCAGCTGATGTGGAAAATATTTTGTCTGCCTTTTATGATGGAAGGATAGAGGTCATAAAAAGGGGTGACTTTAGGTAATAGATTGTAGATACCCTTGGTAATGCCCTATGTAACAATTCCTATAATTAACCCAAGTTTGCAGTTTCAGGAGGCATTTCAACAAGTGGCAAAAAGAATCACATCCCAACTTGCTTTTTTGCCTATCATCCCTTGGCAGTATTAGGTGATGGGTTATTTTAGCCTATTCACATGGTTCCACAAGCAGATGACACTTACATGAGGGAAATTCTCAGGAGTCTAATTTTAACTTCCTAACATGTTTCAACTTTATACTAGTTGGCATGGTGCCACTATGTTTTGTTATTGGAAACTCAAGAGAACAGAACTTTGAATTTCTGTTGCTGCTTACTTATCTCCTGCAATCAGCATTTCACTTGCTATAATGGAGACTATGTTGTTCAGGTTTTATATTTCAAATTTCCTTCTCCAGCTCATTATTATTATTATTATATCATTTCAGTCTTTTCCAAAGCTGGCTCACAAACTCCTTTCAGCCAAGTGGGCTATATGCCATAGATTAGAGTATTGATTCATCTTTTCAGCTACAATGCTTATTAAATATTCAAATGACTCATAGACAAATGACAGGTATTCAATGAGTATTTATTAAATACTATTGCATAAGAAGCAAACAGGTTTCGACACTGTGTGCCAAACACTGAGCCAGGCACTGGAGAAGACAAAGACAAAAATGAAACGGTTCCTGCCCCTAAGGAGCTTCTTTTATGTTGGGGGAGACACCATGGAGGTATATAAATATAGAGAAAATAGAAAGAGTAAATACAAGATAATGTTTGTGGGGAGGGCACTAGGAGATGGGTGAGAGGGACTCAGGAAAGACTTCATGAGGAAGGTGGTACTTGAGCTAATTTATTTATTTATTTTTTTAGGCATTGGGGTTAAGTGACTTGCCCAGGGTCACACAGCTAGTAAGTGTTATGTGTCTGAGGCCAGATTTGAACTCAGGTCCTCCTGAATCCAGGGTCAGTGCTCTATCCACAGCGCCACCTAGCTGCCCCTACTTGAGCGAATTTTTAAAGGAAATCAAGAATTTTATTTATTTATTTGTTTGTTTGTTTGTTTTGAAGGAAATCAGAGGTGAGGAGGGACTCCATTTTAAATGTGATGGCCAATCAGTGCAAAGGGAGAGAGTTAGGAGAGGTAGTGTCGTGTGTAAGTCACAGCAAGGCTGTTTGATTGGACCTCAGAGAGGATGGGAAGAGGAATTATTTATAAGCCTAGAAAAGTAGTTCAGGACCAGACTTGTTCTAGACTTATTCTGTCTTATTATTATATCATTAATATATTATATATTATTATCAGACTTACACTTATCTTATTCTAAAGACAATAAAGAACCACTAGGGGGCAGCAGGTAGTGCACTGGATAGAGTGCTGGGCCTGGAGTCAGGAAGACCTGAGTTCAAATACTGCCTCAGACACTTAACTAGCTATGTGACCCTGGGCAGGTCACTTTAACCCTGTTTGCTTCATTTTCTTCATCTATAAAATGAGCTGGAGAAGGAAATGGTAAACTGCTCTAGTATCTTTGCCGTGAAAACTCCAAATGGAGTCATGAAGAGTTGGACATGACTGAAACAATCCAACAACAAAGGAAGTATTGAGTAGGGGGTGATGTGATAGGTCTCTACTTGAGGAAGATTCCTTTAGCTGGTGTGGGAAACTTTTGTTTTGAAATCCAATTCGATGGTCATCTTCTGCATGAAACCTTATTCCTCTCCCATGCTCCCTTTATTTTAATATATTTTTAGATCCGTATATACATACATACATACATACATACGTGTGTGTGCACACATGTATGTATTGTCTTTGCTCCTAGAATGGGGAATCTCCTTGAAGGCGGGGATTGTTTCATTTTCTCTTTGTTTCTCTGAGACTTAGCACAGTTCCTGGCATATAGCAGATGCTTAAAGGGTTGGATTTGAGATTGGAGAGACTTGATGCAGGAGGAGACTATATCAATAGTCCAAACAAGAGGTGATGAGGGCCTGAATAAGGGCATGAAAGGACAGAAAGGAATACATATAAGTGATATTGTAAATGTAGAAACAATAAGAATTGACCACTGTTTGCCTGTGTGGGAAGAGAGAGAAGTTGAGGATGACTCTTAGGTTGCAAACCTGGGTGATTGGAAGGGTGGTAGTGTCCTCCACAGAAATAGGGAAATTCAGAAAAGGCCTGGGTTTTGTGGAAAAGATAATAAATTCTGTTTTGAACATGTTAAGTTTGAGATGTTTATAGGACATCTATCTTGAAACAGAGGTAATGGGAAAGAATTTGGCTGGATGTGTGGATCTGGGAATAATTTTCCTGAAATGGTAATGAAACTCCTGGGATGTGATGAGTTCACCAGTAGAGAGAATGTAGAGAGAAAAAAGAAGAGGGCCCAGGCCTGAACTTTGGGGGTTCCCCAGTAGTTAATGGAACGTGACATGGATTATGTATGACCCAGAAAAGGAGAGTTAGATAGGAGAAGAACAGAGAGAGTAGTGTCCTGAGAACCTAAAGAAGAGTGAGTATCCAAGAGGAGAAGAGAGTGGTTAATGGTGTCAGGTTCTCAGGAGAACATTGTACACAGTTAACAGCCACATTGTGCAATGACTAACAACTGCAAAAGACTCAGGATGGAAAATGCTATCCAAATCCAGAGAAAGAACTATGGAGAGTCTGAATGCAGATGGAAGCATACTATTTGCTCTCTTTTCCTTTTGTTGTTTTGTTTTGTTTCTTCTTTCTCATGGTTCCTCTTATTAGTTCTAATTTTTATTTACATCATGACTAATGTGAAAATGTTTAATATGAATGTTTAAGGAGAGCCTATATCAGATTGCATACCATCTTGGGAAGAGGAGAAGAGAGGGAGGGGGAGAAAATTTAAAACTCAAAATCTTATAGAAGTGAATATTGAAAACTAAAAATAAATTAATCACAAAAAAAAAGAAAAGTAAAAAAAAAAGAACAGTGTCAGGTTCTTTCTTTATAAGTAATTATTCTTATGTTTTTCAAAGGCTGCACTGGGAGCTGGCTTCTCAGACAAGATTCCTTCTCATACTGTCACTATGGCTTGCATCTCTTCCAACCAAGCCATGACAACAGGTATGCTCACTTTCAAGTTCCATAATTTTTAGCTGATAATTTCAAAATTAAAAGCCTTGTCTTAGTTCCTTGATCAGGGGGTAGGTAGCTTTTTTAAAGAGAAATTAAATGATTTGCCTAAGATTTCAGAATCTGATAGGTTAAGAAACAAAATCTATAACACTAATATTTTCAAATTAAATTTATCCTTTAGATGATTCTACTTTAGTTTTTATTCCTTTTCTTTCTATTCCTTTTTTTAATCCCTAAATTTAAATATAGAGATTTCTATGTCTGTCTGTCTATTTCCATATATGGATGGGAGAGCTACCTTGGGAGTTAGAAAGAACTGGGTTCAAGGACTGCCATCTTACCCATAATTGGATCTGTGGCCCAAGGCGAGTCATGAAGATTATAAATCACAGAATAGTTGCAATCTATGTTTGTAGAAATAGTTTTGGGTAGTTAACCAGGAGTTATCCACACTAATGGAGTTAGTAAGAGGGAAACCTGATTAAAAGGAAAATAGGAAAAGTACATACATCAACAAACTACTAAAATTTCCTAAGAAAGTGTAACAGAAGTAAATTAAGCACAAGAAGACTGAAAGAACCTAAAAACCTCTGTAGCTAGAAAATGCTTGATTTCTTTGCTAAGTAGAGAGAAATCTGAGCTAAGGATAACAGCAATTTAGAATATAAATACGTTGGTAAAATCGTATGGTAGAGGATGGTTTAAGATGAGCAGTATAAGCAAAGACATCTCATACAATAATGAGAAAGAGATGTGTTTACAGAAAACTTGACCAGATCATTCCAAGAGCATTTTTGTCACAAATGAAAAATGGCTTGTCCTGGATATAGTGCTATCTGAACAATTGTGTCTTTGGCAGTTATTAATGCTTTTCAAAAGCTCTCAGAGTTTCCTGAGGGATAGAGCTTCAGAGCAAATGATGAGATAAGTGATCTACGTGACTTCCCAAGTAAATAGTGGTTTGGTTGTATCCCAGCTTAGCATCTTTCTTGAACGTAGTGCAAGTCAAATAAATATTTAATGATAAAGCTGAACATATCTTGTTAAGAGCAAAGATTTTATTAATGTCAAATGTGTTTACATAGTAAAGAGGCTTAGGGTCTATGGATATTACTACTGCTGGGGTTATTCTCAGTGAAGGAGAAGCAGCAAAAATACATTTCTGGCATTACAGTGGCAGACATTGACCTTTTTAAGATTCCCACAGTCTTTTAGAGAGGTAGATAAGGAGATTGAGAAATAAGGAAATATTCACTTAGCATTTTTGGTCTCTAAGCACTAAGCACAGTGCTACCATTCACACAAGGTTACCTAATGAATATTCTTTAGTACTCGTGGAAAGATGAGGCAGGTAGATAACGGGGAAGAGCTAAAACTAAAAAGAAATCAGGGCAGTTAAGGCTGCTAATTTATTCAGGCCTTTATAAGTAGGAAGGTAGGGAAGAAGCCAAATCAGTCAGCTAAGGGAGCAGACAAGTCAGGACCAAAATATGAATGGACTAGGCCTGGGTCAGAATACTAAAAGGAGAAGGCCAGGTGGCAGGGTGCACAAATGGGAAGGCCCTAAACCCCAAAAGCCAGAGCTAAAGCCATGGAGAAACTGGAAAAAAGCTAGTTCACTATTGAGAAGAGTTAGCAGTAATATGGCTTAGTTTCTTTTCACTGGGTCTTAGTGACCACACTTAAGCTGACCCTGTAAAAGAGAGTACACCATTGGCTGCTTGGTTCCGGATAAGGATCATAGAATTTAGAGCTGGAAAGGACTAAAGAATATCTTATTGAATCCCTTCCTTTTCTAGATGAAAGGAACTCAGGCCTACAAAGGCAAAATGATGTAGAGTTGGGAAACCTAGCTTTGACTCCTGTTTCTACAGCTTACTACTTGTGTAATTTTGGTCAAGGTTGTAAGGGCCACCTCTCTGGGCCTCAGTGTTTTCACTAAATAATGTATGTAAAGCACTTTGTAAACCTTAAAGTGTTGTATAAATGTCATCTATTATTATCTAGGTTTCCATTCAGTACTAAATCTTATGGCTTGCTAGTAAGTAGCAGTGGCAGAATTTGAACCGAGGTCCACCAACTACAAAAATCTGCTCACATAGTAAATGTCGGCCACCTGTTTGTCCTAAAGTTGTAGATCATCTTCCATGGAGATTTTTGTGTAGGATAGGCATCCATTTGTCTGATTTGGCATACATTAAGTTCAATATTGTCTAGAGGCAGGGAGATTGATCAATAATTGGATGATTGTGGAGGCTTTTCTCATGTGCACATGAAGCACATTTTTTGCTAGTGTGTTGAATTTATTTTGTATTTTTAATATTACCTTGGCTGGCTCTGTAAAAAGAGAATACATTTAATTATACATTTTCTACTGTGCTGATCCTCTGATATCCTGGTAAGCAGTTTCAGTGACCATGGACAATCCAGACAGCTGATGTTGAAATATACTACCTTCTAGAGAGGTGATGGACTAGAACGAGGCAACTACTTTTTGGCATGGCCATTGTGCAAATTTGTTTTGCTTGACTGTGCATATTTGTTACAGGGATTTTATTTTTCTTTTTTTTTTTTTTCAATTTTGGGCATCGGTAAGAGGAAGAAGGGTAACAGGGTCTCCATAAACAAAAGAATTTCATTACACCATTTTTTTCAGATGCACAGAAGAAAATAGAAAGAAACATAGACAGGCAGTACAGCTTTGAAAGGTCCATGTTGCATTTATTATATATTTAAAAGGAAACTCAAGCTGTACATAGTGGTTAACAGTTTTTATGTATAATCCTCTTTTTCTGTTTTCTTTATATAAGGAAATGCTCATATTATTTGTTGTTTAGGTTCAGATTAAAAAAAATTTAAATGCATCATGATACATTATGAACAAGAATCTTATGCCCTCATTATTAACCCTTTCCTGTAGGTTTTGGTTTGATTGCTTCTGGCCAGTATGATGTGGTTGTGGCAGGTGGTGTGGAGTTAATGTCAGATGTCCCTATTCGACATTCTAGGAAGATGAGGAAACTGATGTTTGAGCTTAACAAGGCCAAGACCCTGGGTCAGCGACTGTCTCTAGCTTCTAAATTCAGACTGAATTTCTTAGCACCAGAGGTGAGATTTTTAACTTCTCTGGAGAGACCTCTGATTGTCAAGTAAGTTTCTTTGAAGTAATATAAAGGTTGGACTTTGAGTGTGCTAAACACTCATGAAGGAAGATCTTGTTGGCCACAGTAAAAGCTTAATTATTTAGTTTAACATGCAAAAAAAAATTAGTAGACGCTGAGGATCTTCATTGTTCAGGTGCTGGTTTGGGTTGTCATAGAAACTCTTAGCATATGTACTCTGTGATTTTCAGAGAGCTTCCTGTTTCTTCAGTTATAAAACACAACCAACAAAACCTTTAGATTATAGTCCTTCAAAGAGATAAACAAAAGTCATGTTGTGGGACTCTTCCCCACCAGTTGCTATGTGGCTGCTGTCAGATGGTCATCAGAGTTCCTCGCTCTCACCATTCTTCTCTTCCCAGCTTCCTGCAGTGGCTGAGTTCTCAACCAGTGAGACGATGGGCCATTCTGCTGACAGACTGGCTGCCGCATTCGCTGTTTCCCGCACGGAGCAGGATGAGTATGCCCTCCGTTCCCACACTCTGGCCAAGCAAGCCCAGGACCAAGGACTCCTCACTGACGTTATCTCCTTCACAGTTCCAGGTGAACACAACTTGACTTTTCTCTTACAGGAGAATGCAGAATGAGAACTAGCTGCAGAATCCCAAGTCCTTTCCTCAACCTAGACCACCCCCTCTCCTTTTTTTAATTTAATATAATCTCTATTTCATTGTTATCAGTAGGTCATGTGTTTAGTATTTCTGCTTTTATGCATTTTTGTGAGTTTTTTGTCCTAGAACACGGTCAGTTTTTTGTAGGTGTATAAATAAGGAGTATCTAAATTGCTTTCCATTCTCATTCAGTAATCACTAGAGATCTGTCATGTCTAAGTTTTCTTTTCTTTTCTTTTCTTTTTTGTTAATTTATTTTTAGTTACAGACTCTTCCTTTTGAAGTACATCAAATATTGATCCCACCAGAAATTCCTAGTCTCGGCATCTTAAACCTGAAGAGCTCTATTTCGTTTCAGTCTTTCTCCGTGATTTTGGGATTATAAGAACCCATTATTAATTTATCCCTTCCACATTTACAATGCTTGTTTCCTTCTGTGTTCCTGGAGGTAGTGTAATGAAATGAGCATGGTCCTAGATTTGGAAAACCAGAGTTTGAATTTTGGCTCTGTCAAAATTCTCTTTATGTTGTTGAAGTACTTAACCTCTCATCTGTAAATCAGAATAATTCTTATCATACTTATCTCACAGGGTTCTTGAGATCAAGCAACTGTTTGAAAGCATCTACGTTATATAAATATAAGGTGGTATTATTGATGGTGTTGTTAGGCTAACAGACTATATGGCACAGACCTGGAGTCAGGAAGATGTGACTTCAAATCCAGCTTTGGACAGTTACTGGCTGTGTGAACCTGGGCAAGTCACTTAACCTCTGTTTGCCTTAGTTTCTTTATCTATGAAAGGGGGTTAATAATATCAGCTACCTCCCAGGGTTGAGGATCAGGTTAGATAATACTTACAAAATGCTGAACAGTGCCCAGCACATAGTGCTATATAAATTGTTATCTATTTATTTACATATCAGATGCACGTCCTCTCTTTGTTGATTGCTGATTTAGGTGGTGGAATTAGTAATTATATTCCTAATAATCCAAACTTTAAAAGAAACAGAACTTTTTTTTCTTTAGTAATTTAGGTTTCTCCACAAACATCCTGGTGTTTTATTTTCTTTTTGAAATAGGTTCATTCTTAAGGTCTAACAAAAATCCTCGTGTTAATTGGCTAAGCCTGGCCTAAATTTCATATTTTTGTGATTTTTGAAGCTCTCGTCTACAAAATGGCATCTGATGCTTAGTGTTCCTTTAAGTTAAAAATACTTTTTTTTTAAAAAAACAGGAAAAGATACAGTTTCCAAAGATAATGGCATTCGTCCTTCCTCCATGGAACAAATGGCAAAACTGAAACCTGCATTCATTAAACCATATGGCACAGTCACGGCTGCTAACTCGTCTTTTCTGGTAACCACGCGATGTGTGTTTGTTGATATTTCTTGTACTTTTTGACTGGTAGGGATCTCAAATGGAACTGAAACGTGCACACGTGCTCATGGTACAGTGAAGGCTTAGGAAAGCAGTACTGTACAAAATATAGACACATTTGAGGTCATTATCAAGATCATTTTATTACCGAATCATAGAAACTCTGAGCAGGAAGTCAGAATTTGCCTCCTTGCAGCTTTCACCTCCCAGTCCTAATTTTGTCCCCTAGAACAACACAAAACAAGTTTGCTCTAACTTCACTGGGACCCCCATTCATATTTTTGAAGGTGTCAGTCACCTTCCTAAGCCTTTTCTCTTTCAAGTTAAATGCCCCAGCTTCTTTAATAAAGGCCATCTTCACATAATATGATTTTCATATTTACTCCAGTTTGTCAATCACCTTCTTAATATATAATGCCTAGAACTAGATACAAGTGTTCTAGAGTTAGTACAACAATTTCCTCCTCTCATCTGGACACTGTTAATACAGGTTGAATGCGTTAGCAAATTTAACATCTGATACACTCTTGTCACATAACAAAAACTCCCAGGTGTTGTATGCATTAACTGCCTTCAGGCCAAGCCTTCCCCCGTGCAATACTTAGGTCGCTGATTTTTTGAACCAGTGTTCAGCATAGGTGTTGTATGAATACATTTACTTGATGGGTCTCATTGTGGGAGATTCTGCTTTGGGAACTCCTTCCATCAAAGTGGATGGCTTAACAATCATCTCTGATTTAAGGAATTACCTGAGGCACAAAAAAGCTAGGGTCCCAGAGCTAGTAAGTGTCAGAAGTAAAATGTGAACCCAAATCTGTGGCATCAAGCCTAGCTCTCCGTCCACTATATTGTAGTAATTCTAGATCAGGGAATCTTAACCTGAGGTTGGTGAAATTGGTTTTAAAAAATATTTTGGAAAAAAAAGGGGAGGCAGCTAGGTGGCGCAGTGGATCGAAGCTCCAGCCTTGCAGTCAGGAGGACTTGAGTTCAAATCTGACCTCAGACACATGACACTTGCTAGATGTGTGGCCCTGGGCAAGTCACTTAACCTCAATTGCCTCACCAAAAAGGCAAAAAAAATTTGATAACTGTGTTTTAATATTATTGATTTTCTTCGTAATCCTGTGTCCTTTATACTTTTAAAATTATTCCAAAAAAAAGTTTAAAAACAATAAAAACATTATTCTGAGAAGGGATCCATAAGCTTCAACAGCCTTCCAAAGTGGTGTATGACACAACAAAAATTAAGAATCCTTGCTCTATTGAATACATACATCCCTGTTAAAATGTTGTATTCTTATTTGTAAGCCATTACAACAACCTAATGAGATCACTTTGAATCCTAATTGTAACTCAACGTATTAGCTGTCCTCTTAACTTTATTGCATTTGCCTATTTATTAAACTTGTCTTTGTTCAAATTACAGCTGAAAATTTTCCATAAGGTGGAATCAGTCACCAAGCCCTGCAGTTTGCTGTCAGCACCTTACTTAGTCCAGGGGCATTTAACCTTTTGTGTCATGTACCCTTGTGGTAGTCTGATGAAGCCTATTGACTCCTCAGAATATTGTTTTTAAAATGCATGAAATAAAATACGTAGGTTACTGAGGAAGCAAGTTATATTGAGATGAGGTTATCAGAATATTTTAAAAAACAAAACAAGTTCATGGAGACAAGGTCAAGAACTCTTGATCTAGGCTGACAGTGATCCATTAATCAATACTCATTATTCGACACACTGATTCTGCCTCACTGTGCTCGTTTAGCCCACATTTCTCCATTTTATTGGAAGAAATTGAGTAGGAGTACTATTGCCTTTTAAGTGAGGTGTTTTTAGCGTCCCTAAACTGCCTTTAAATTTTTAGTTCAGTCTTCAATTTTGGTTATCGTTATTTTCACTTCAGCTAACTTCATTAGAAATGTAACTGTGGATTCAGACTTATTGCAGTTTTATACTAATTTGCTACACAACAAAAGTTTTCGTCTCTCAGGTGATCACCCAAATAGAAATGGAGGCAGTTCTGAGAAGAAACAAGTGCTGCCTCAGCAGCCCCAGAAGTGGTAGGAAAGTAGAGGGGAGTCCACAGAGACATTCCTTAGTTCAGGAGAAGGATCCCAAATGGAATTTTGCTGAGTCAAAGAATACTTAGTTTCTCTTGTCCTCAGAATTACTCCAACTGAAAATGTGGAAACGTGTTCTGCCCCTCCTTGCCCGCAGTCTACCATTTGTCAGAAGCAGATTCTTGGGTTCCAAATCCCATCAAAAACTCCTCTGCTATAGATTTTCTGTAAGAAATTGGGTGGGAAGGTGGATGGGTCCAAGGGCCAGAAATTTATCCAGAGCTAGCTGCTCTTTCCTTATTATAATTTGCAGCCACAGAGCAGCCTAACTCATGCAACGTCTAGTTTTCTCTGCTTCCAAACGATTTCCATCCTTCCAAAGGACCTCAGAGCAATCACTGCTCTCAGCACCACCTGCGGTGGCCTACCTAAAGTAGCCCCTTTATTTTAAGTCATTGGACTTGCCTCCACGAATCAACCTGACAATTTTACCCTCTCCTGAAACTGTTCTTTTTTTTTTTCCCCTTTCTGCCTAATGGGCATCAAATTCTCACCATACCTCTAATCTAATAAGCAAGGGAACTGTTTGCCTAGTGGAGAGATAGTATAGTATGCAGTGCTTGGTTTTTCTGAAGACCTGGGTTCAAATTCTGATTTTGTATGACCTTATGACTTTAGCTCTCTCAGTTTCTGTGAAAGGAGAGACTTGGACTAGATAGCCTTTGAAAAGGTCTCTCACAGCTCTTAGCCAGTGATCTGCTTTCGAGATTTCCCAACTCAAAGTCGCCTGCTGGAGAGCCACATTGATCTCAATTAATGTACTCTGTGCCAGCCTTCTCACTTTGAGTGCCTGCTGGGTGTTGAGGACAACAGAGTTAGATGAAAGATTCTCTCTCCTCAAAAAACCCCTTAGATTTCTTATAATAAGCACACAGACCCATGGAGGTACACACTGGTTGCAAAATGGTGTGGTTTGATACAGGGAAGAGAAAAGGTTCGGATTGTATGTGTGTGGGATTTCAAATCCAAAGCTGCGTTTTCTGGGCCCTTGGAGGAGTATGATAGTTCTGGTGTTATGTAAAACTGCAGACGAGCAAGGGACTTAGTTTGGAAGCTTAAGGGACAAATTCCATTTCAAATTCCAATGTACAATGAATATCTAGCACCAAAAAATTACTATTCCCTAGCCAACAGCCTGCTTATTTGAAGGAATATTTGATAAACAGAAATGTAGTATGGCAAAAGAATGTGGCCTGTTCTTTTGAATTTATGGTAATGTGACTAGATAGTATTCAACAGTGAGCTATAAAAATGTGACCCGGGATATCCTCTAGGATGCATATTTTGACTTTTGAACAATTTATAATGGAGAGACATTTCCATTTGAACTCTTGTCATCTGCAGCTGTTTTATTTGAAGTGCTGTAAGGACTCCATGTAGGTAGGCATTTTGGCATCCTGATGTTATTGCATGTCAGATTAAAAGCTCAGGGCCATCTTCAAGAGCACCCATGCATGCAATAGCCTCTGCTTCCTGCTTCTGACTTACTTCAGCTGTTCTTGCTACTCCCATCATCACTGCTTCCTACCACTGCAGAGCCTAGAAGTGAGAAAAAAAACTGCTTAGAAGACACAGGGGCAGAGGACAGTTTCAAAGAAAGACCCTAAGCTATGTGGAAAAGGTTCGGGCTGCTGGAGGGACCACTGCTGTGGGTTGAGTTATGAGATTCCCGGTGTTCTGTACCAAAAGCACAGAGCTTTGATCTGATGTGTGAAAGAAGGCATGCTTTTTAAAAAGTCTTTAATGGATGAAACAAAATCTTTTTGGACATCTTTTGTTCTTTGTTAACCCAGCTCCCAGATAAAAGGTTATAAAATGTTCTTAGGTTGTAATTTAGTGGTGGATGAAACTAGATAAGTGAGTTATCAAGTGGAATTAGCACAGCACTATTCAGAGAATAAACTAGTTCTCAGTGTTCTGTAGGCACAATATGAATCATTTGCCTGATTCGGAAACAAGATAAACAATTGAGCTGAGGGAGCCCATTTAAGTGACCTAATCATTCAGTATTGAGACCAAGAATTGGACTGTCTTTCTGCTTACTATTTCAGACTGATGGAGCTTCAGCAATGTTGATTATGTCAGAAGAAAAAGCTTTGGCCTTGGGCTATAAACCAAAAGCATACTTAAGGTAAAGTGAAATGTTGAACTGTGTCATCTACTATTTGCATTTTAATTGCTGGAACTAACAGTGTTTTTCTGCCTAGGGATTTTGTGTATGTGTCTCAAGATCCAAAAGATCAACTTTTACTGGGGTAAGTGGCAATATCACCTTTGGATTTAGTTAGGAATGTGTGACATGGCCAGATTCTAAGTTCAAGAAATGACCTATTTAGGGGCAGCAGGTGGCACAGTGGATAGAGCACCAGCCTTGAAATCAGGAGGACCTGAGTTCAAATCTGGCCTCAGACCAAACACTTGACACTTACTAGCTGTGTGACCCTGGCCAAGTCACTTAACTCCAATTGCCTAGAAAGAAAAAAAAGAAATGACCTATTTAGGTACTAATTGTATAATAATAGTAATCATGATCTCACAATTCCAGTGTTCCTTGATTCTCTCTCCTCTCAGTCACCACCCTAGTTCACATCCTTATCACCTTGACTGGCTTTCCCTATTGGTCTCCTCTCTCCAGTCTTCCCCTTCTCTAATCCATCCTCCATATTGCTGCCAAATAAATACTTCCAGACTATATAGGTCTGCCATGTCAACCCCTACCCCTATTTAAAGAACCTTCAGTGGCTCCCCATTACCTCTATAATTAAATACAAACTCCTCTGTATAGCATTTATTTTTTTAAATTTTTTTTATTTTTAACATTTTTTTCTAATTTTTTTGTTTTTTTATTTTTTAAAAATTTATTTATTTTTAGTTTCCAACATTTACTTCTATAAGATTTTGAGTTCCAAATTTTCACTCCATCGTGCCACTCCCCCCGCCCAAGATGGCATGCATTCTGAATATCTCTTCCGCTAGTCTGCCCTCCCTTCTCTTCCCCCTTTTCCCTTCTACTTTCCTGTAGGGCAGGATAGATTTCTATACCCCATTTCTTATATTTCTTATTTTCCAGTTGCATGTGAAAACATTTTTTTTAAACATGTGTTTTTAAAACTTTTGAGTTTCAAATTTTCTCCCTTTCTCCCTCCCTACCCACCCTCATTGAAAAGGCAAGCAACTCAATATAGGTATACATGTGCAGTTATGCAAAACACTTCCATAGTAGACATGTTGTGAAAAACTAACTCTATTTCCCTTAATCCTATCCTGCCCCCATTTATTCTATTCTTTCTTTTGACCCTGTCCCTCCTCAGAAGTTTGCTTCTGATTACCCCTTTCCCAATCTGCCCTCCTCTCTATCATCCCCTGCTCTCTTGTCCCCTTCTCCCTATTTTCCTGTAGTAAGACAGATTTCCATACCCAATTGATGTGTATGTTATTCCCTCCTTAAGCCAAATCCTATGAGAATAAGATTCACTCATTCCCTCTCCCTTCCCCTTTCCCCTCCACTATAAGACTTTTCTTTTCTTTTTTTGTGAGATAATTTACCCCATTCTACCTCTCCCTTTCTCTTTTCCCAGTATAATCCTCTTCACCCTTAATTTTATTCTTCAGATATGTCCCCTTCATCTTCAACTCACCCTGTGCCCTCTATCTATCTATCTATCTATATATACATATATATATAATTTTTCCCTCCAACTACCGTAATACTGACAAAGGTCTCATGAGTTATAAATATCATCTTTCCATGCAGGAATGTAAACAGTTCAACCTTAATAAGTCTCTTATGATTTCTCTTTCCTGTTTACCTCTTCATGTTCCACTTGAGTCTTGTATTTGAAAGTCAAATTTTCTATTCAGCTCTGGTCTTTTCATCAAGAATGCTTGAAAGTCCTCTATTTCACTGAATGACCATTTTTTCCCCTGAAGGATTATACTCAGTTTTGCTGGGTAGGTGATTCTTGGTTGTATCCTCTCCTTTGCCCCCAGAATATTATATTCTATGCCCTGCAGTCCCTTAATGTAGAAGCTGCTAAATCTTGTATTATCCTGATTGCATTTCCACCATACTTGAATTGTTTCTTTCTGGCTGCTTGCAATATTTTCTCCTTGACCTGGGAACTCTGGAATTTGGCTACAATATTCCTAGGAGTTTTCCTTTGGGGATCTCTTTCAGGAGGAGATCTGTGGATTCTTTCAATTTCTGTTTTGCCCTCTGGTTCTACTATATCAGACAGTTTTCCTTGATAATTTCTTGAAAGATGACGTCTAGGCTCTTTTTTTGATCATGGCTTTCAGATAGTCCAGTAATTTTTAAATGCTCTCTCCTGGATCTATTTTCCAGGTCAGTTGTTTTTCCAGTGAGATATTTCACATTGTCTTCTATTTTTTCATTTTTTTGGATTTGTTTTACAGTGTCTTGATTTCTCATAAAGTCACTATCTTCCAATTGCTCTATTCTGATTTTTAAGGAAGTATTTTCTTCAGTGAGCTTTTTGACTTCCTTTTCCATTTGTCCAATTTTGCTTTTTAGGGCATTCTTCTCCTTATTGGCTTTTTGGACCTTTTTTGCCGTTTGGGTTATCCATATAGTATCTAAAAGCCTTTACAACCTGGCTGAAAACTATACACATCATCTCCATTCGTATACTCCATAGACTATAGGCCAAACTGATTTTTTGCTGCTCCTCACATGTGACATTTCCTCTCCAGTCTCTCTGCTTTTGTACATGTTGTTCCCCCATATCTGGAATGAATTCCCTCCTCACCTTTGCCTTTTACAATCCCTATTTTCTTTAAAGTTTAATATACAGTTCACCATGTGTATGAGGCCTTTTCTGTTATCCCTCCCTCCTGGAGGCTGTGTTTGCCTCTCTCCCAAATTGCCTTGTATTTATCTATTTATCTCAAGTGTGAGAGAGAGAGAAAGGGAGAGGGAGAGAAGTCTTCCTCCTGGTGGAATATGAGCTCTTTGAGGGAAGTATCTTTTTCATTTTTGTCTTTGTAACTCTAGCACCTAACATGGTGCTTGATATGTAGGACATATATAATAGGTGCCTGTTTGTTGATTTATTGATTGAATAATAATTCCATATATACGTTTTGGGTGTGTGAGGTGGCAGATCTGTTCTGCCCTGATACTGCCAATTGTAGGGTATCAGACTACCCTGAGGGGTGATCCTATCTCTCAGAGAATACTGCTACTGAAGAAAGAGGGACAGTCCACACCAGCATGGAAGTAAATAGATTTCATGGGGAGAAGCTTACTCACAAGACCGGTCCTTGGTGGCGGGAGAACGGAATGATAGGCCCCCATACCACCCTTAGGCCAGGCTATATAGTATATAGAAACAGAACTAAGAAGCTGTAGTGCCAGGGGTGGCCTATGGTCACCTTCATGGGATAGAGCTGCTTTTTGCTGTTTACATTAACCATGGTGCTACAAGTCATGTTCTTACACCCATGCTTCCACCATATAACTGGGGGAGGAGCAGGGTGGTTTGGTTTTGTGATTTTACCAACATGTAGGAATTCTCTGTCATTGTGGGGAACTCCCCCATTAGTGGAGATTGGTGACTTGTCTATAATTTCTAGCCTTACAGACAAACCTGGGGCATTGAGCGGTTAAGTTATTCGTCCAGGACAGGGGTGGGGAACCTGTGACCTTGAGGCCACATGTGGCCTTCTAGGTCCTTGGGTTCTCAGCCTTTTGACTGAGTCCAGGTTTTATAGAACAAATCTTTTTATCAAGGGGATTTGTTCTGTGAGGTTTGGGTTCAGTCAAAGGACAGCACTTGAGGACCTACAGGGCCACATGTGGCCTCCAGGCTGCAGGTTCCCCATCCCTGGCCCAGGGGTCACACTATTAGGATGTGTTCACTGCCCTCTATATATGTGCATAGCACTTGATAATTTATACTGTTTTTTCACTTATATTATCATCTTTGATCCTTGTGAAGTAGGTAGGATCTTTAATAAAATGTTGGACATTTCCAATGAACTATCAATACAATTCATTAAACAAAACAAAAGTAAATAATTAACCAAAACAAATTCAATACAAGTCATTAAATAAAGCCATACATATGTGTATATATGTGGTGCTTGAAGAAAAATAAGCCTAATTGTACAAAAAGGAGATTCAGCTGGAGACTAATACATTTTTGAAGGAGATGTTGGAGCATTTTTCAAGTATTACTTCTTTATGTATCTCATTTAATTTTTAAATTTACAATTTGTCTTTACTAACCCTTTTCTGAGGCTGAAGAGCCATGACTTGCATGATTTGGGGCTCTAAAGCAAAAGCAGGCAGAGGTGAAGGAAATATCCTTCCTGGGAGCCCATGCAAGAGTAGAAAGTGAAAGAGGAGGAACAGGGCTAAAGAAATGTGGGTAGACACAGGAGAACCTTGTCCTGGGTTGAAATTAACTGACCCAGGAAAGGAGGAGGAGAGCATCAGGGTGTGACAGAGAGAGGGCCAGCCTCCGAGGCAGGAAGGCCCTGCTTTGTGTCTTGCCTCTGTCACATTCTCCCAGGGACCTTGGGGGCAATGCCCTTAGACTAGATGCTGCAGAAAAGGGGCACATGCTCATTGGGAGAGGAAGTACTTCACTGGGAGCTCCCTACATCAGTTCCAGTTTTTAAAGAAAGAAAAGGGAGAGCAGGAAGCGGTGGAAGGAAACAGCAAGGATGATTTTGCCCACATCAAACACCAAATGGCTAATGACAGTCCGGTTGTTTGGGTGGTTCAGGGTAGGGGTGACCTAGAGGAGAAAGGGAGCTGGTATGTGGCCTCCACAACCATTGGTAGGTAGGGGATCTTCTTAAACTGAGTGTTTGGACCACCCTGACTATAAAATGTACAGTTTGGGGATAACATATGATCAGTTGTCTTCCCAAAGCAGCAAGCAGCACAGTAATGGAAGTGTTCACAGATTTCCCCCTTGCACCTCCAGGATTCTAATTGGCAGGCTCAGGTATTATGGTGGGGAACAGAAAAAAGGAGGGGAATGTAATGCCTAATGGAAATCTCGCTGTAACATTTGAGAGGATGTCATGTGAAGTAGATTCTGGACATCATGGAGTTCTGATCACTCAGGTAATAGCAAGTGATAACCATGAGCAACTGTACTAAGCTCTGAGGATACAAATATAAAAGTGAGGAAGTCCCTCCTTCAGAGGGTTTGTATTCTACTCGGGATAGGATGAGGGAAGAGAGCAAACAGCATGTTCACAGATAAGTAGATTTAGAATATATATAAAATAAATAGATTTAGGAGATATGTGTATATATGCATATAATAAAGATATATAAAAAAACAGTGAGGGAGTAGAACATTAACAATTAGAGGAGCAGAATAGACTTCTTATAGGATGTGGCATTTGACCTAAGCTTTGAAGAGACCTAGGAGTCCTGAGAGGTAAGAGCAAATAAGAGCAACTCAAGTGCAAGGAACAGCCTGGGCAAAGGCATGGAGGCAGGAGAAGACTGTTCTACACAAGGAACGACAAGAAACTCAGTTTGGCCAGAACATAGCTTATGTGAGGAGGACTGCTGTATAATCAGCCTTGGAAAACAGGATCGTAGATAGAGACCTGGAAGGGACTTTAGAGGCCATGTAAGTCCAGCCTCCTCATTTTACAGATGAGGAGACTGAGGCACAGAAAGGTGAAGGGATATGCCCATAGTTACAAAGCTGATAAGTATCTTGGGCAGAATTTGAACTGACTTAGTCCAGTGCTTTCCCGCTATACTAAGCTGCCTTTCAAGTTGAAATGTTGACACTATCTTTTTCTTTTCAGGCCAGCGTATGCAACCCCTAAAGTGCTAGAAAAAGCAGGCTTAACATTGAATGATATTGACGTTTTTGAATTTCATGAAGCTTTCTCAGTAAGTCTTTTTCTTTTTCTTTTTATTTATTTTTCTTTTTATTTTTTTGCTTTGGCAATTGGGATTAAATGACTTGCCCAAGGTCACACAACTAGTAAATGTCAAGTCTCTGAGGCTGGATTTGAACTCAAGTCCTCCTGACTCTAAGGCTGGAGGTAGGCCACCTACCTACCCCTCAGTAAGTCTTTTTAAAGAAATGTGATTATATAAAAATGCTGGAAGTACTAATTTTCCTTCTCACTTCCATATTTTTGCTTTTAAACAGGGAAGAGGAGAAGGAATTAGATGAGCCTATGGATCCTGGTTTACCTTTGGTGTAGAATGAAAAAGGCTTTAAACATTGGCTTTATGCCGTACGAACATTTCTTTGTATATGTCTTGGAGACACTTAGCAGTGATTTGCAAAGTGACTAAAAGCAAAAGTAATACACTTGTTTGCTCTCTGAGGCCACTAACCCACTGTATTGGAAGAAATTCAGACAAATGGCCTGAAGAGTGGTGAAAAGCACTTTGGGTTAGAATGCTTCTCAGAACCTTTCACAGAAGCTAAAGTGTTTTCCCCAGAAAAAAGTCAGCATCCTTACCTTTAAAGTCATTTAAAACCATACCAAAAACAATGTTTGGGCCACATTTTGGTTTTAGTAAGATACTTGGCATTAACAAACTTATTCCTTGCTAAATTATTTTTCTTCCTAGAGTCAGATTTTGGCTAACTTCAAAGCGCTGGATTCAGATTGGTTTGCACAAAACTACATGGGTAGGAAATCCAAGGTAAGTTTTGAAATTAAATGTGTGTTTGAGTGTGTTTGAGTTTCTAATGTATGTGAACATTGGAGTAGAATTACATGCAAACACCTATTCAAAGAGAAATTTTCTACTAACTTAAATATATTTTTCTGAGGCCTTATGATAGTTATATTAACTTTCAAATTCTTCAGCAAAAGCACAAAGTCACATTTGTTATATTTTGGTTATTCTTTCTCTTTTTAACTGATGAAAGGTATTTGACCACTGCTTTTCATTAGCTTGATGGTTACCCTAGGAGGTATTTGCTTTACAATAAAGTCATAGAGTCGTACATAAACCTGGAGTTAGAACGGTACCTTAGAGGTCATCTAATCCAAACTCTTTATTTACAAATGAGGAAACAGAACTAAGAGACTTACCCAAGGTCCCACAGGTAGATACTAAGTGATAGACAAAATTCAGACTCTAGGTATGTGACACCACAATCAGCACTCTTTCTACCACACTAACATGACTACCAGTTGATTGTGATGCTTCCAGAGCCCCTTGTAGTCCGTAAATTCCAGGCTTTCCTATTGCTACAAGCCTGGCCAAGCCCCTTTCCCTACATCTGCCTCATGTTATGTTTGTTCTTTTGTTTCTGTGGGCATTAGGTTGGTGCACCTCCTTTGGAGAAGTTTAATACCTGGGGTGGATCCCTGTCTCTTGGACATCCCTTTGGTGCCACTGGTTGTCGTCTGGTTATGGCAGCTGCCAACAGGTTACGGAAAAGCGGTGGTCAGTATGGATTAGTGGCTGCCTGTGCAGCAGGAGGACAGGTAAGTTAGACCAACAGCGCAGGCTCCTCTTAGCATTCATTTCCTTCTATTGGAAAGGAACTGAAAACAGCACCTTCTGGAATGGTTGGCGTCATGGGACACCTCTTCTTTTCAGTTGTGACCATTTCAGAAGGCTTTGTCCTCGCTAAATAGTATTTAGGCAACTGGGAGGTAGAAGAAACCCTTTTTGTGCTCTCTTTTCTCATAAAATTCATCCTGATCTTGTTAGCTTTGTTGTTGTTGAGGCAATTGGGGTTAAGTGACTTGCCCAGGGTCAGGCAGCTGGTAAGTGTCAAGTGTCTAGTCTGAGACGAATTTGAACTCAGGTCCTCCTGACTCCAGGGCTGGTGCTCTGTCCACTTTGCCACCTAGCTGCCCCCTTGTTAGCTATTTCTAAGAAAGGTGCCTTGTCCATAAAACTGCTTCAGAAGATGTAGCATTTTTCTAGAAAATTGAACTTCATCTTAATTGCCTAACTAGAGAATTAATTTGCCTCTGGCTAATTTGTTATTGAGGACATAAATGCAGAGAAAATTGTTTTGTTCTGATGGGTTTCCTACCCTGCTTTACTGACTCACTGCAGAGATGGCCTGGCGAAGACCTTCTTGTGGTAAAAAGAAAAGCTAACTGGATTCCTTGTTTTCTTACTGGCCTGAAAAGATCTTGTTACGTTCTTCTCACTTACAGTAACCTTCCCTGGACAGCAGACTACATTTTTAAAGATTTTAAATTGTTGGATACCCTACCCCCGCCTTGAAAAAAAATTTCTATGTGAGGTTGATAACAGATTTCTGGTAATTGATAGGCAGCAAATGGCTGTTCTTTGTGAATGGTGCATTAAACTAAGGAAGTAAAATTTGTGAAAGCATTTAATGTACATTCCTAATGACTCTGAAAGAGGAGAAATTGCAGATATACCACTGAGTTGGAAACAACATGATTGAAAAGGTCTTTAAACCTGTATAATTTCACCTGAAAAATCAACTAATACTTATACATAAGACTTAAGGGTTTGCAAAATACTTTGCTCACAACAGGCCATTTGAGGTGAGTAGTGGAAATATCATCCCCCCTTGTGCAGATGAAGAAACTGAGTCCCAGAATGGCTAAGTATCTTGCCCATGATCTCAAAGATAGTAAGTGGCAAATGGGAATTCAGACCCAGGTCATTTAACTCTGAATCTTGTGTTTTTCTCCTGTATCATAGACTCCTTTTCAAAACAGTGACTGTTATAGTCACCCTGCATTTTTCAGCATCAATGCTAACCAAAGGAAATTGTGAGGATAGAACGACAATTCTTTGTAAAGAGTACTCCAGATAGATTAACACCTTTGGTAACTGGTGTGTGGTTTTGACCACCTAATATATGTTTAGACCTGTCAGAAGGTTTAAGAAATATAATGCATGATTCTTTCCCACAAGAATCTTACAATATAATGCACATGAAAATTTATGTAACATTACAGATCATGAGAATGAGGGCAGAAAGAGTAGTACAGATGTATTCTGTAGGGGAATCAAAGGTGAGTAAAGACCAGTATGTGCTGGAGTGTTCAAGGAGGGCTACTTAGAGAAGGTGGGACATGATATGGGCTTTAAAGGGTGGGCAGGTTTCGTCTGGGCAAGGGGGGGAAAGAAAGGGAATAACAGGAGAAAAGGCCCTGATGAGGACAGTATGTGACGTATTTGAAGGTTACACTAGGAAAGCTCTGGCTGGAGAAGAGGGTTTGTGATAAGATATGGTGAAAAGATAGGTAGAGCAAGGCCAGGTGGTGGAGAGCCTTAAAATCTCAGACTCAGAAGTGTGGACTTTTTTAATAGGGATTAGGGAACCAATAAAGACTTTTGAACAGAAGAGCTACTTGAAGAAAAGAGTGTTCTAGTTGTATTACTCTAACAGTGGTATGCAGAATGTATTGGAAAGGGGAGAACCTGAGAGCAGAGAAACTAGGTACTCTGTTGCAATAATATAGTCATGAGCCTTGACATGGGGTATTGTCAGCGGGGATTTAAAAGAAGGGATAAGTGAGAAAGGCTGAGAAAGAAATTTGGATAATATTTGGTGATGATTACCCATGAATGTCAAGGGAGAAAAAGGAATTAAGATTCTGAGATTTGGAACATAGAGGCCTTGAATGACGTTAAAATTAAAAATAGGGTGTGGAGAACCTACTAGACGATAGAGATTGGTTTTTTGCACTTGTGAGTTTCAGATGATGGCACATCCGTATGGAAATGTTTAGTAGGCATTTGGAAATGTGCAACTGGAGCTTAGGAAACAGGTCCAAGGGTAGAGAGATTCATTCACTACTTATAGAGTGCCTACTGTGAGGAAGGTACTGTGTAAGGCGTGGTGAGATACACATTTGGGGGTGTGCATGGAGGAAATATTTGAAACAAAGTGTCACTGAGAATATAAAGACCAAAGAAGGCTAATAATTATGATTTGGAGAATATCTGCATTTTAGGGTGTAGAAAGAGAGGTGCTAGGCTAAGAAAGAATGATAGGAAGGAAGAAAGGTAGGAAGACAGAACCAGGTGAGTAGATGATAATGGAGTGTAAAGGAGAGATTTTCCAGAGTAAGGATGATAATCAGTTACGGATTACTGAAGACAAAGCCTGAGAAAAAGCCACTGAATCTTGTATTGATCTTAAAGATAATTATTTCAGGAGTGATGGTATCAAAAACCAGATTTTATTGTTAAGGAATGGATGGGTGGTGAGGCTGTGGAGATAACAGGTATAGGCTTTCAGTCCAAGAAGTTTGGCAGTGAATGGAAAAGAAGACAAGTAGGCTGTGTGGCAGTAGGGTTAAGCAAAGGACTTTCAGTGGCAGTTTTTTTTCTTGGGCCAGGGTATGGGAGATGGTGACCTATTCATGTCTGAAGATAGACTCTAGGTCCTCAGGTGCAGCCCTTTGACTGAATCCAAACTTCACAAAACAAAACTCCTTAATAAAAGGACGTGTTCTGTAAAACTTGGACTCAGTCAAAAGGCTGCACCCAAAGACCCAAGGCTACAGATCCCCCACCCCTGGCTTTCAGGTTTTACTACAAGATCCACAAAATTTCTTCAGAATGTTAAGGAGAAGCTTTCTTAAAGCCACAGAGGAATCTAGGTGACTAATCCTCAGTCAGTATCCATCCTCTGGGGCTCTAGGGTCACAGCTCTAGAACTGGAAGGGACTTCAAAAGGTCCTCTGGTCACTAGAAAGCCGTTGGTGACCCTGCCGCTACAGATGGACTAACTGATGTATGATTGTCTCAAAGATGGACGGACTGTAAGATTTCTTGCAACCTAATCCTGAACAACCAATTGCCTTCACGTGCCTTAGATAGACTTGAGGCTATTCAAACAGAGAAGCTTGGGGCAGCTAGGTGATGCAGTCGATAGAACACCAGCCCTGGAGTAGGATTACCTGAGTTCTAATCCATCCTCAGACACTTGACACTAACTGTGTGACCCTAGGCAAGTCACTTAACCTCAAGTGCCTCACCAAAAAAAAAAAAGAAAAAGAAAACAAACAGAGAAGCTCTTTGGTGTACTGGCTAGATTCCTTTCCCTTCACTGCCTTCATTGGCAGTGAGATAGCTCAGTGGATAGAGTGCTGGACCCAGAATCAGGAAGACCTGAGTTCAAATGCAGCCTCTGATGCTGGGCAAGTCACTTAACCTCTGCCTACCTCAGTTTCCTCAACTGTAAAATGAGGATAATGATAACACCTAACTTCCAAGGTTGTTGTGTGTTGCAAATGAAATAATGTTTGTAAAGTGTGTAGCACAGTGCCTAGCACATAGTAGGTGCTATATAAAAATGCTAGCTATTTATTAATATGTGATTATTGATAATATAAGTGATAATAATAGTAATAATAACAATTATATAACTGTTACTTGACAACACTCCTTTCTTCTTTTCAGGGCCATGCTATGGTTGTGGAAGCTTACCCCAAGTAAGAGGACTAGAGAGTCCCTGAAGGATCTGTGAGAGTCCTGTGCTAGGCAATGCCATTTCAGCGCACTAATACAAAGTCATCTATACTTGTGTGCCTCTCTTAGGAAAGCAAGATTTATAGCCTTTTGTTAAATATCTCCTAATTAAGCCTCATGAGTGTTCTGAGCTGTTCAGTTATCATGGCTTGTAACTCTTTCAAGGATTTCTTAACCTGACAATATAATGCTTCCAAAGAGATCTTTTTTCCTTTTTAAAATTCTTTTTGTCAGTTTCATTAGAAACTAAACGAGTGGTTGTAATTTTAGGGAATAGATAACTAAGATTTGAAATCATCTGTGTTACATTCTCAAAATCTCTTTCAGAATTTTATTTTGCTAATAACATACAGGTAAATATGGTTCCATTCTAAATAAAATTTTACAAACCAAGTACCTACTCTAATTTAATAATGAAAGGATGATGTAAAGTCTAAACTGCACTGAGAAACATCAGTGAATGTTTAAATATGGAAACATCATCCCTGTTTGCCCAACTTAATAAACTAAGGAAGTATTAGAGATTGGATGCTTTTTTATAGGGTATGTGTTGGGGTGTAGGTGTGTGGTTCTTGTTAAGTATAATCATGTCTCTAGTTAACTAATAGGCATCTCCTGTTCATTTAAATCAACCATAAGAATCAGAGGAGTAAGCACCAGTGGTTTCTTCTAAGCAGTTTGCTTATGGATTTTTAGCCTAAAGTAAAATAATTTCACCCTTTAAGACAGAGGTATCTTGGCCAAATGTTTAATGAAATGTTGGAAAACTCTGAACTTGGACCGATATTCCTGAGATCCTCTGGCCTATTTTTCCTTTTTAATACACTAAAGAAAAAGTGCTTTGAGAAAGGAAACTGCTCTGCTGCCTTTTAGTTTGTCTTGGTAAGATCCTAGTGGTTGGCAGTCAAGATTATCCACCAGGTAGGCTGGGCAGAGTGGGTCATTCCGACCACATCCTTTACCTGGGGCCTTGTTCGCATGCTTCTTTCTACATATGAGATTTTTAGGTTGAAAAGCATTCTATAAATAGAATAAAAATATAAAAGGAGCACAAATTACCATTTTTATTGGGGCATATGTCTTCTTCAAAAGTTAACTTTCATAGAGTTCCAAAGTTGAAAAAGAACTTTAAATCCGACTCTACCGGCCCTCTGTGTTTATGTAGGAATGTAACAGATGTATTCCTGCCAGGTGTTTGACTTCCATCTCTGTTGTGACCTTTGCAGGGAACTCACTCAGGTTAGTTATGGGATTTTTTTTTCCCCACAAAGTTAAGTTCTACTACTTACCAGCTTTAATTATACCTGTCTTGCACAACTAGGTATTTGGAATAGTACTTTTATTTCTAAACTTGCTTCACTCAGGGTTCAAAGGGTGGCCCCTCATTCTCATTATCACTTAATCAGTTGACAGGTTTATGTTCATGTTATGTATGATTTTATGAGCTTTGGTTCTGTCTCCCTCTTAATTAGTCATTTTTCCAAACTAAAGAACCCTAGTCTTTTTGATCAGTCCTCATACGTCAGTCTCCCGATCAGCTTGTCAATTTTATTTGCTTCTCTCCAGATGTTTCTCCAGGTCCCATCATATTTCACCAGAGGCGTGGCACTTTACAGTGACATCTAACTTTTCCTTGGGCAGTAAGAGTTATCCCCAAGCCTTTCAGTCTGTATCCATTGTTCATTTAGGGGTCTGAGCCTGGACTATTAAGCTTTAATACGTCCCACCTCTTCTGCTTAACTATCCACGTGACTGTGGCCAAGTCAGTAACTTTTCAGAGCTTCAGTCTCCTTGTATGTGAAATGAGAGGGCTGAAGTAGATGACTGCTGAGGCCCCTTCCACCTCTAAGTCTACACTCCTGAGTCACGTCATCTCCTAGTGGCACAGGCAACTGTAAGGCTAAGCAGCAGCCATGGTGTCAGTCTGTGTCAGCAGAGGGAGTTGTTTCCCCATACCAATGAAATCTAACATCTAGACAGAAATCAAAATGTTCTTGGTAGGAAGGGAAGAAGACTTGAGAGGAAATGGAAGAAGAAAACTTCTGGAGATGGAAATTAAAAAAAATTCTGAAAAGAAGTGAGCCATTTTTAGGGAAAAAGAGAATTTAAATCAATCATCACTCCAATGTTTATAGCAAAGTGCCAACTTTTGTAGCCAAGGATCAACTTCTTCCAGAAACTTGTAAGGGAGTATCCTTAGTACAATAGTAATTCTCCCTAGGCAGAAATTCCAAAACCTCATGTTCTAAAACCTCAGATAGTAACTTCTATCAGTATGTCTAACTCTTATGTATGACTGTTAAATAGATGCATTAAGCCAACCTGTGGTGCTCAACGCATATTCATTCATTCTGCTGCTGTACTTAAAACATTCAAATATTCAGTTTAGCCGATGAGGGAATCCCAACCAGGCATTGTCCTTCTTGATTGTCTGTGAAGTCTAAAGCTAGGAGTTCACTTAGGCTTTCTGCCCACCCTCTGCCCCCACTTCTGTGAGCATGGTTTGGACTATGACCAATCCAGTACTGCCAAAGACTGTAGAAAGACTATATGTTAAAACACTTAACTCTGAATGACCTTGTGAGAACCCTCAGCCAGAGGCAGTGGGGTGCTGAGCCACCTCCAGCTAGCTCGCCACTGATAGTTGTATTTTCAAGGTGAGCATTTACACTTTGGAACTCAGAAAATGCTATACAATCAGGACTTGATCTGTTGTTCTGCTGATTGTCTAGAATTAAGTGATGGAGAAAATATCGGTAATGCGGGTTACACTAAAAGGGTGTTTGGGGCACATTGTTTTTCTGGAGAGCTGGTTGTTAAACATCTACCAGCACCCTCTTGGCTCAGAAATCTTTGGTTTATGTGACAGTTGGTCTTAAGATACCATTTAAATAGACTGCATCTCCAGAAACCAGACTTGAGTTGTAAGGCAACAGGGCTGAAATCTTAGCTGAGGACTGCCTAAGAGATAATTAACTATAGATAAGACAGCACCCACCCTACAGAACCATGCAAATAGTGTTAGGTTATCTCATTGCTATAGGTCAGTGACTGTCCAGCTAAAACAGAAATGTGGACCACTGAACTGTACATAAACATCCCTGTTGACTGCATACTGACCTAGAAAACCACATAGTGACATTATCCACGTTCTATTGTGTTTTTAATTTGTTAAATATTTCCCAGTTACATTTTAACCTTGTTCAGGCTGCTGACTACATGTTTGACATCTCTGCTAAAGTTGCGGTATAGCAGCAGTAAATGGTTTTTCAGTTTCAGGTGGTTAGTATCTTTGTTTTGCTCTAGCCTTTCAAGCTTCCTGATAAATGTTTTTGGGATTCATAGAGCTAGTCTTATTATTTACAATATCAGAAACCTATATGGTAATTAATAAATGAAAATAATAATTCTAGTTTCTGATTTCTCAAAATTTCTCCTAGGTTTTTTTTTAAGACCTGTAAAATAATTTTCAATACCCTTTGAACGATGTTAGTCATCTAAGTTGTGGAACCAAAAGTGAGCAAAAGCACCATTGTAGGGGCCCCATGTCTTTTGTCTATTGGGTTACATGACAGAAGATATATAAAATGGGTCAAGTAAAAAATAGTGGGTTTTGCTGGAAAGGTTTGTACTGGTTACATGTAGTTTTTGGGGAAAAAGAATGGGAGTATGTATACTCAGATATACACAATGTAAATCTGTTATTTGTTGTTTGCAAACTGAGGGTTGAAAGTGGTGGGGCTGACTGTTAGGACTGGATGGATGACTAGATTGTCAACAGGACAGAAAGGAACAGAGGGTCTATATAAGACAGTACCCTCCATTTGCAAGATGTTCTAATCCATGTGCAGATATTTCTGGGGCCCCATTTCTAGGGCTTTTCAGCAAATCATTAAAAGCTGTAAATAAATTTCCCTGGGGAAAAAAGTGTTTCCCCTAACAATAAGATCCCTCTTTATGTAAAAGGGTAAGATTATTCTGGATTATCCCCAGCCTTGTCCCTTTCCACGTAGCTCACTCTAAAAAATGCTTCTTCCAGAACACCATTCTGCACCTCATGGATTATAGCTCCCTCGCATCTGAGAATCCACGAGGACTTTTACAAAAATCACGTCAGTCTGTAGGGAAGAATGTTGCATATAGTGTCAGAGGAGATCACTATATCCCATGTTTTCCCTTAAGTCTTTTCCTTTGTTACAAGATAAGAGTCCCTGTAGTGCCTGGTGCCTTTTATCCATTGGGATGCATAATGGAGGACAAATAAAGTGAATAAAATAAAAATTGTGATTTTGCTGGAAAGGTTTGCACTGGTTACATATTTTTTGTGGGGGAGGGGGAGAAGAATTGGAGTGTATGTGCCCAGTCACACAATATAAATCTACTGATCCACCTGTTGGTTTCAAACTGTGGAGGGATGGGGCAGTAAAGAAGGAGGTTAAATGATGTAAAAACAAAATCCACAAATAAAACTATTTTTTTTAAAGAAGTTATGCCAGTCCCACATCAGGATCCAACTTTCTGTTGTCCTCTTTTTAAGTTTTTTATAATTTCACTCTTAATACTCTTAATATAGTCACTCTTCATACCTCCTACAGGTATTTAAAATTTTATTTTTTATATTTATAAGCTGTGCTCATAAAATTTGGTTTCTGTTCTGCAACTTGTATATATTTAATACATGAAACATCTGTAAAGCTTCCATTTTTAAAAAGAGGTCTAAAGGCAAGTTTGAAGTTGCTGATTTCATTTTTTTGGAATGGCAAAAAGAAACAGTAAATCAGCCACATGTACCAGCAGTGTGTGTGAGAACAGAATCTCGGTCAGGCCAAATCTCTTCAAAACTGGAATAGAAAAAGAAATCAGCTCACTAGCTATTTGGAGGAAAGATTGAAGCCATAATTTTGCTAATAATTTACACATATATCTAGATAGTTGCATCAGTTAAAATAGGCAGCAGCAGCTTGACTAACTGTTTTTGGACTTTGTGGTCTGTTGCTGTGAATTTTATGGCAGGGAAGACCTGTTTACTAAGGCTTTAGCTATATCAACCCATGAAATTCTGATACAACCTGGAAAGCTTCTGAGAGTGGCTAATTGTAATGGAAACTTTCTTGAAGGCTTCATTTCCAGACTCTTCCCACTCACAGAAGTTGAGGATAAGACTTAAGACCAAAATCAGAATCTGATTCCTGCAAAACTCAGTTCAAGTGCCATGTCCTACAGGTACTCTAGACTGATTCCCCAGGAATTGGTGCTCCTACCCATTTTTTAAAGTACATTGCTATGTATTTAATTTTCTGTGTGTACCTTTTTTCCTACCAGTAGAATGTAATCACCTTGAGAACAGGGGCCAAATATTTAGTTTTTGTCTAGCACAAAGCCTGACACTGTAGGAATTTAATAAATGCCTGTTGCTGCAGAAAATGAACCTCCCTCCTCTCTTTGCAGAAGTGGAAGACTAAGGTTGTGGAATACTATAGATACTGTTAGACACTGTTGCTGAACTGTTTTTTTTTTCTCTCTATTTTGTTGAGTTGTTTTCAGTTGTGTCCGACTCTTTGTGACCCTATTCAGGATTTTCCCGGCAAAGATACTGGAGTGGTTTGCCATTTCCTTCTCCAGCTCATTTTACAGATGAGAAAACTAAGGCAAATGGGGTTATGTTACTTGTCTTGGGTCACACAGCTAGTGTCTGAGGCCAGATTTGAATTCAGGAAGATGAGTCTTCCTAACTCCAGGTCCTCTGGGTTCAAGTTTACCTCTGATATAGATTGGCTGTGTGACTAGACCACTCTCTTAGCAGGTGTAGTTCTGCAACTATTTGGTAGCAGTTTGTTCATCCAAAGTTCCTTATATCAATGAAAAGACAGGTCTAATCCTGAGATTAATTTTCTATTTTTATGTTATTTTTTATTTCTGAATATATTCCTCCTACTTGCCCCTAATCAGTGAGCTATCTCTTTTAACAAAGATTGAAAAAGGTCCAGCACAGGGGATAGACAGCTGGGCTTGGAATCAGGAAGACTAATTTTCCTGAATTCAAACTTGTCCTCGGACACTTACTAGGTGTGTGTGTAATCCTGGGCAAGTCACTTAACTTTGCCTCAGTTTCCTCATTTGTAAACTGAGCTGGAGAAAGAAATGGTAAACCACTACAGTATCTTTGCCAAGAAAATCCCAAATGGGGTCACAGAGAGTCAGACACAAGTGAACAACAAAAAAGGTAATTTTGCTTAGGGCCTCCCAGGATAATTTATGGAAGCCATGAGGCTTTTGTAACATAAGGAAGGATTTTTAGAGGGAATTCATGTCCTAGCCACATGATCCCACTGTCTTCTCCCAAGACAAGAGCTGGAGGTGCTCTAGTTGCCAGCAGCCTAAATGCTGTGATAGGCCCAGCCACTCCTTTGTAGAAGAGGTCACCCAGGAAAAGCCTGTGTTCTCTTATGTAAAGGGTTTTTTGCCCCTCTGGTGTGAGTGCTGACCTCGGTCAGAGGGCCACATTTGTTCAAGCTGAAAAGTTCCTCTCTGTCCCCAAACCACCTTTCTGAAGCCCTTGTCTCATGTAGTCCCCAAGAAAGAGTTTAATTCGTACCTAGCATTCTCTGGTCTTCATTTGCTGGATTCCAAGTCATTCATACCATTTGTGGCCTGCTGTGGAGCAAAGGAACACAATTACTGAGAGAGGTTTGCCTGGTTAGCTGTCCCCATACACAGAGGAGTCTATGTACCTACCCTCTTTTTCTTTTGCTGCAGAGGTCTCTAAAGCATTGTTCTCAAGCACATCCAGAATAATTTACATCTTTTCTAGTTCTATAGTTTGCAAAGCCCTGTCTACACCTATACATCTTTGTGTGCCTATACCACCTACTTACCCCAAAGGGTAGCTTGGGGGGAAAGAGGCCCAGAAGAGTGATGTGAACCTGAGTCATAATCAGGAATCCAGATATTCTGACTCTCTAATTTTCACCTTATTCTTTGGATAATAAATGGAATCTTATGCACTTATCAAGAAGAAGACAAGATTTGTGATTTTTTGAGGTAGGTGTCGAAAGGCTTTCCCATGCAAATCACAATCCTTCCATGCCATAGTGCTATTTTCAGAAGTTGTGACCAAAAGCACCAACCACCTGGTGGCCAGCCTTCTGTGGATGATCGTCCTCACCCTTAGTCTGCTTCTTACCTGAAGCCTTTCCACATTTAGTAGGACCTACCAGAGTCGACCCAGGGTCTTTGCCTCCAGGAAACATCAAAGTGGTACTTAAATAGGCCTGGGCTACTGATTTCACTGGTATAGGGAACTCTCAGATGAGGAAACTCCATTACAATCCACATGGGTTGACACCTTCTCTGCCTCTTCCTGAGTTTCCCAGAGCACTGGGAGGTTGAGTGGTTTGCCCAGACTCATCCAGCCACTATGCTTCAGAAGCCAGACTTGAACCCAAGTTCCTGGCTCTGAGGCAAGCTGACTCTCCACTAAGCTACACTGCTTGTTCTCCTCTCCCCCCCCCCCGCTTTTTTTTTGGACACAGTCAGGGTTAGGTGACTTGCCCAAGATCACACAGCTAATAAGTGCCTGAGCTGGATTTGAAATCGGGTCCTTCTGACTTCAGGGCCAGTGCACACTGCTTCTTTATATGTGTGTTAAATAAAAGCATCATTTTGAAGGAAGTATCCTAAACCTAGCCCACAGAATTTGAACTTGGGCCCTAACTCTACCTCCTGGCTTGTCTAGGGACTGTCTCTGCTGGGGAGGGGGATGCTGCCAACTCACCAGGGAGACAGTGGAGACAGCAGGCACAATACAGCAGAAGTGTTTGAGTAATGCTTCCTGTACCTGCAAAGGAAAGAGAAGCGCGTGTTGGTAGGACTGGCATGTCCTTATGGCCCAGAGGGTGGGCAAGCACTCACCTTCTTATCCATAAGACAGCCGAAGAGTAGGATGAAGATCCCCTGAGAGTAGAGACAGGGGAAATGCACTGGTGAGGACCCTCCTCTTAGGAAGAGGGTATGAATACAAAATTTGCCCAGTGAGCAGAATTGCCTACTACACCTTTTTATTTTTTTGCCACTGATTGGAAATCCTGTCATTTCGTCTTTCCCTGGTTGTCCTCCCATACACCTAACCTCTGTCCCACCTGCCTAAATCAAGCCCGAAGACGCCTCCACTGGAATATTTGTCTAGCTTAGTCCTGTGTCATATAGAGAAAATTACTGGCAACTTCATAGTCTTTATTTTGAATATTGTTGTATCCGTATTCTTCTTTCAGTACTTCATGAGAGATCCACGGGCACGAATCTCCAGTAATGCAGATGACAACCCCTCCACACCTTAGTGGGTGTTATTCATGAGTTACTGTGACCAAAATAATTCAAAACCTGGTATCCAACTTCGCGGTGATTTAGCTAAGCTCATCTTCAGATGACAGTTCATCTCCTGAAATATATTGGAAGCCTTTCCAGCTTGAACTCTGCCATTGAGCCCAGAAGCACCCTCACATTCTGCCTCAGATGCTTACTGTCTATGTCATCTTGGGCAAATCACCTTATTAATCTGTGTCCTCATCTGTAAAATGAGAGGGTTGAGCTGGATACTAGCCCGAGGTCCCTTTAACTCTATGATCCTATAACAAATTATCCTATGATTCACCGTATCATGAGTCACTGGAGTAGGTCTTTAGTGAAGGTATATTTATGTAGGGCATAGCAAAAGAATCTGAAGTACTGACAATTTTAGGGGGGTTAGAAATTATCTTCTTTGGTATCTGGAACTGAGTAAGTGCTTAAGTAAATGTTAATGCAAATGCTAATCATCATCTCATTCACACCTCCTTCAATATCCCCAAGGAAGGGATTATTATTCTTGCTCTTTTGTAGATGGGGAAAGTGATTCAAAGGAGGGAAGGAACCAACCTTGACTACAATAAATCTGGGGATAGAGCCCAGCTGTAATGGTTCCTAGGACTCTGCCCTTATGGCAAGCTCCCTAGAGAGCACTATCTAAAGTTAGAATCTCCTCAGCTGTGTGACCGTGGGCAAGTCACTTAATCCCATTGCCTAGCCAAAAAATAAAAAATAAAATAAAATAAAATTGGAATCTCTGAACTTACAGTTCCTTGGGAATCTTACCAGGTAGGGGAAAGGAGGGAAGAAGGAAAGAGGGATTAAAACTGAAGCTAGGAAGCTGATTAGTGCCAAGCAAATGGGCCATGGAAAAATGATTGCTATCAACTAGTTAAGCATCACTTTGCCGGGTGGTCATGGGCAATAAGAATAACCAGGACTTTGTCACCTACCTGGGAGGTATTAAGAACTGTGAACAGGTAGTGAGGGATCTCGTTGCCTCCGTCCATCAAAGTGGCCAAGCCCAGCACCCAAGTCAGACCGAAGATGGGCATAAGGATGAACAGTGCCTTGATCACACCCACAAGGGCCTGCCGCTTCTCAATCTGGGGCCCCTCAGACAATGAGGGCCTCAGCAGTTTCACCACAGCCATCGCCAGCACCAGCCAGTTTACCCCTACGATGACTATCACTGGCCCCACAAAAGTATAGATTGCTCCACCCTTCCCATCCAACCAGCATGCATCCTCCCTCAAATATTGTCCCTCAGGGAGGTACAGGCCCAACGTTGTACCTGCGAACACCAACGGGCACAGGTAGCCCAAGAGAAACATGATGGGTAGTACATAGTGTTTAGACAGCTGGTGAAAGACGAAGAGAAGCTGATGAGCTAGCACCAGGGCTTGGGCCAGCATCCAGAAGAAAGCAGCTAAGTAGAAAAAATGGGGAAAGAAGGCAGCAGCTAGGCAAAGCGGGCTGTGGGGGCCTACGGGTAACAGTGATGTCCCAAGAAAGAAGGTGTCAGCAGCAAGCAAGCAGAGTACCACATTGAGTAAGGCCACGTGTCGAAAGTAAGATATCTTATTCTGGACTACAGCCCTCCATACAACTCTGTATACTCCCAGGCATAACAGCAGTGACAATATTGAGGCCCCCAAGCCCACTTGGCTGAGCAATGTCAAAGTTGGGTTGTCTGGGACAGAATGGCGGGACATAAGGACAGAAAAGGAGGTTAAGTGCAAGCAGATACACTGAGTGGTGCTGCTGGTGTCACCCACTCTGGCCTCACAGCCCTCCTTTGACCAAGCGCCTGCACCCTGGAAGAGGTTGTGGTCCCAGAAGACACAAGTGGGAGTACCCTCTGTACCCACAAAATCCATAATGATCTCCACTTTGGTTACAGTCTGATTACCGTCTTTGATGGAGTTGGAGAGAACCAAGTCAGGAGTGGTATAGAGTAAGTCACTTAACCCCTGCCCATAGTTCATGGGTAGGATATGGCCCAATTTATTCAGTACCGTACTGGTGATACTGACACGGCCAGTCTCCCAAGCCAGTTGCGCCAGTGCATGGTGGGGGATTTTTGCCCTGATGGGGGTATGAGTGAATGAGACACTGTAGTCCTCTGGGGTCATAGGTCCAAGAAGCTGAGTCTGTAGTTGCACATTGGGCAAGGTGAGATAGAAGGGGTGGTCACTGGAACACAGGCTTTGACCCAGGCTCTCCACACTCTGCAGGATTGCTGAACTCACTGAGGGCACCTGGGCCTGGGCTGGGACCCAGATAGTATTGGGATCCAACTCCAAGAGGTCATTTGTGGCCATCAGAAAATCCTGCAGCCATCCAACACAGAGATCAGCCCCAGTTGGAGAGAGAGCCCATGGACTCCGCCCGGAGTGTGCAACTTTTCTTGGGTCCCTCTCCCCAAAGAAAATCAAAAGTAGAGAAAGGACAGATGTGTGCAAGAGGAAGTCAGCTAAGTCAGCTATCCAGCAAGTTACACAAGGCATTTACTGTCATACACTGGTTATAGAGTCTACTTCCAAGTCCCATCTACAGGCTAGACATCCCATTGCTTGACATCTCTTGTGTCATTTTCAAAGGGTCTCTCTTCTGCTCCCTCCCTCCTGACATATCCTAGGGTCTGTGGAATCAATAATTATGCATAGGGGTCAATGGTATGAGTCAACATCTGCATGAATATGCATGAATTGGGGGAAGAGTGTCTATGTACGTACATGTGATATATATGTATTTGTGTGTGTTCTTATGTGTTATAAGTTTCATAGATTCTGTTTACTTTTGTGCCATGTATGCATGTGCCATGAGTGTGCATGATCAGCTGGATAATTCCTGACATGTACATATATATCTCTGCCCTATGCATATCCATTTGATCCTGTATGATTACAATTGTACATGCATGTATACTGGCACGTGTGAGTAAATTTGTATATCTTCTTTTATGTGTTTGTGAGGGTCCATGTTCATGTGTCTACATATGGAAATGAACACCTACATATCTTTGTGTCCATGCACATGCGGCAGAGACCTCAGCCCTCCTAGCTTTCATCCAGTTCTACCTCTCCAGAACATCATGTCCCCCATCCCCAGCTCAGAAGCACTGTTGCAGGTGTGTTGCAAGAAAATGGGCAGGCCAGAAGACACACATGGGTTACTAGGAAGAACTAGTACCTACAAGCCCGAGGGCTTGCCCAAAAGGACAGAGATTGCCAAGAGGAGGCAAAAAAAACCAGACAAAACAAACAACTAGTCCTACAGCATTTCTCCCACCTGCTGACCCCTTGGGTGCTGGGACTCCTGAGATTGTGCTCACCTCCAAGGCCTTGCGGTTAAGTTCTATGTGGTCCCTGGTCACCACCTGGGCCAAGATCTTCACAGTACCCAACAGTGCTAACAAGTCAGAAGGGGAACTCACAGCTGCTACCTCCTTCCGCAAATGTGCTATGAGCAGCGGCACCTTCCTCCTTGGCTCACCTTGGCCTGCCAACAGCAGCTGCATCAGAAAAAAGGAAAGGGACCTCAGGGGAAGGGAGAGAAAGCACTGGGGAAGGGTCTTGGCATAAAGACTCTGAAAACAAGCTCCCTAGGTCCTATGCCTCTCTCTCTGCACAGTCGTACACCTCTTGACTCAGGAGGCGGATTTAGCTTAGCCTAGGACATTAAAAGTGCTTCAAAAGATTCACCTGGGCTCTGTGAAACAAGGCCACTAGCCTCACATCAGTGCAGCTGCTGCTGATGGGTCCCCAGTTGCCTTTGGCCCCACAGTGCCTCTCCACCATTCCCATCCTGTTCAAAGGACATGGGATCTGGGCCACATATCCAGCTTTAGTGACCTTCCAGTCACCGCCCAAAGAGTCCTGGGGACAAGTAGTATCTCCATCTGAAGGGATAAACACAACACATTCAGTGGTTTTACAAGAGCTCTTTCTTCTTCTTGGTGGTGAAATTTCCTACAATTGGGTCTAAGTCTAAATCCCATGCACTTGAGCAAGGAGTATCTTTGAGCAATTCTAAGTCTGTCTCTGCTCTGGGATAGAGCAAACAGACCTAGATCTATCTGGGGATAAGGAAGACCTAGAACCCTTCCAAGCAAAGGTCACCATTCATTAGGCATTAGGTAAGCTGGACAGATCCTAGACAAGACTGCCTACCCTGAATCATGGTGATGAAGATAAGACGAGAGTCTGGGGAAAATCTTCCTACCCTGGATAATGGAGACGGAGATAGGGATGCTCACAAGGTCCAGTCCAGGGCTCTCCAGCTTACAGGTGTACTTGGTATCATTCTCAGGGCAGCTTGGTACAACTAGAGTGAGACACTCTGTCTCAGAGGTCCTGGACAAGAATGCTAGAGAATAACAAGAGAAAAGAACTCTGTCACTAGAATTTGGGCAATTGGCATGAATGCCAACTGCCCAGGACCTGAGTAGAATCACAAGCTTAGAGCTAGAAGAGGAAGTAGAGGCCATCTCATCCAATCTCCTCATTTTACTGATGAGGAAAATTTATCTGATAGGAATGACTTGTCCAATGTCACAGAGCTAATAAGCACAAGTAGGACTGAACCCAGGTCTTCCTAGATCCAAGTCCAGCAATCTCTTCTCCCATTATGCCATGGCATCTCTCTATGTATGTGTAAAGCAGGCTAAGGGTATGCTGACAGAAGGGGGAAAGTTGATGCACCACTGATAAAGTTGTGAATTGATGTAATCATTCTGGAAAACAATTTGGAATTATGTGAGAAAAATCTTCAAACTTCATACCCTTTGATCCAACAATCCTACCGCAGGGCATGTCACCCATGAAAATCAATGATTTTTTTTAAGTCCCATATTAGTGAAAGTATTCATAGCAAGACTTTTTCTAGTAGCAAACAAAAAATGGAAACAAAGGGAATTTCTATCATTTGGGGGATGATTGAGCAAACCATGACATAAAAATATGATGGAATAGTATTGTGTAATAAGAAGCGATGAAGATAAGGAGTTTCAATTGATAGGGAAACAAGAGAAGTTTTGTATGAACTTGGGCAGAGCCTGGTAAACAGAGCCAGAACAATGGGTGTGGGTGTATAGATATATGTATATGTATGGGTATGTATATACACAGACACAATGGTCACAATAGTGAAAATGAAAAGCATATAAAAAGACACTTAAACTTGGGATAAATGCAATGAGTGATATTGAATCCAGAGGGCAGGTGATCATGGATACCAAAAGTGTGCGATATGGAGAGACACAGCTAGATTGGTCTATCTTGCTTGGTTAGCTTTCTTTGTTATAAGGGAAGATATTAAATTGAATTTTCAAGGAATCCTCATAGAGTCCTTACATCTTAGCAAGGAAAAGCCAGTTAACACTTGTCATCAGGGTCACAAAAGATGAAAGGGGTCAGTCAGACTTCAAGCTTCTTCTCCCCATCTCCTGCCAGCTTGCTCCAACAGAGCACGACTAACAGCCTATCTTTATGGAGCATCACATAGAGAAATAAAGCAAGAGTCACAGAAGAGACTACATCCCCCCAACCCCTCACACCTGTACCAGGCAGGGATTGAGAGCTCCAGGAGGCAGTGTAGTTCAGAGTTGTTCTGGGGAAGCAGCATCTTAACTGGAAGCCAGAGGAAGCATTGCAGGAAACAGAGAGCTGCCTTGGGGGTCGAAGCACATCATCGGCCTGCAGGGGTACTTCCACCAGCTGATGCAGCTCCCACAGGAAACCCCGGGACACGAAGCGGCATACATACTGGCCTGCGGGCATATACCGACTCTCCCCTGCTTCCCTCCATTACTTCTGGCCTTGCCAGTCGGTAGCACACACCCTGGTAGCTCAGAACTCCTCCCTCCCTCTCCCCCAACCTTTTACCCCGTTCTCCTACTGTGGTATCCTAGTGCTGGCCCAGAAGATGGAAACTTGGCCTGGGGAAAGGATGATGAAATGCACCTGTTGGCGTTGTTCAGTCGTTGTTTTCAGTTGTGTCTCACTCTTCCTGACCCCATTTGGGGTTTTCTTGGCAAGGATACTGGAGTGATTTGTCATTTCCTTCTCCAGCTCATTTTACAGAGGAGGAAACTGAGGCAAACAGGATTCAGTGACTTGCCCAAGGTCACACAGCTAGTAAATGTCTGAGGCCAGATTTGAACTCAGGAAGATGAGTTTCTGACTCCAGATGCAGCACTCTATCCATTGCACCACCTAACTGCCCCAGTTGATTTGGCTTAACTGTATTTCTTTGTTACAAGGAATAGGGTCAGATATAAATATGGGGGAGAGAAGGGCATAAGTGTGAATCACTCATTCAAGTATGATAAGACTTACTATAGACTCTAACACAATATGTAGTATATAGTAGGTATATATGATTGTTGATTCATTTTAAGAAGAAACTTTAGCAAGAAGAATCATAGAATTATAAAATTGAAGACTGAATAGCCCTTTAGAGGGCATTCCCTTTTCCATAAACACGAATCTGATGTAGAGATCTAATATCTTTTGTTGCTGTTATTGTTTGGTTGTCTCAGTCATGTCTGACTCTTTGAGATCTCATTTTGAGGTTTTCTTGAGAAAGTTACTGGAGTGGTTTGCCATTTCCTTCTCCAGCTCATTTTACAGATGAGGAAACTGGGGCAAATAGAGTTAAGTGACTTGCCCAGAGTAACACAGACAGTATGTGTCTGAGGCTGGACTTGAACTCAGGAAAATGAGTCCTCCTGACTCCAAACCCAGTGCTCTATCCATTGCCATCACCTAGCTGTCCTTCTAATATCTTCAGAATAATAATAAAAATAGTTTACATTTACATAGCACTTTAAACTTACAAAGTATTTTATATAGGGTACTCATTTCATCTGTGAAATCCTATGAAGGACAATGCAAAAATTATTATAACCATTCCACAGAAGAAGAAACTACGGCTCAGAGATTAAGTGATTTGCCCAAAGTAATATAGTGGTAGATCTAGGATTAGGATCAAAAGGTCATTGATTCAGAGCTGGAAGGGATCCTCAAGGTCATCTAGTCAACCACCAACCCCCCCCCCCCCCCCCCGCCCCGGCCCTCGCCACTGAATTTTACAGATGAGGAAATAGCGCCAGAATATATAAAGCAACTTGCCCAAGTATACAGGTTATGAGTGCAGAGACATGATTCATACCAAGGCTCTCTGACTCCAACTCGAGCAGACTTTCCACTGAACCATGCAGCCTCTTGCCCTAGGATTTACAGCTGGAAGGAACCTCAGAAATCATCTAATCCCAAATCCTCATCTTATACATGAGGAGGTGAAGTGACTTGTCCAAGCAAATAACAGGGCTGGGATTTCCACTATACCAGAATGACTAGAACCCAAGCCTTTGGGTTCTAGGTCCATGGTTCCTTTCTATCTTTTCTCCCTGCCCCTTTACTACCCTACCTTCAACTTCCCCAAATGCCTTTCTAACTATCAAATAATAGGAAACGCTTGTTCCAGTTTCAGCTCCCTTTTTCTTGCTTTGTTTGTCCTTACTTGAAACAGAGATCATCTTTCCCACAATCTCCATGTAATTATACCCCATGTACTTGCACATATTTATTACCTTCCCTCTTTGTTTTCAAGCCTCCTGGCTCAATAATCAGGCCAAGGAAGAAAAGAAGTAGGAAGAAGAGAAGGCGGAAGCTACCTGCCCAATCTTGGGAGACATTGGTGATGGTGAGAACAGCCCGGTCCCTCGTGGTGCTAAAGGCCACCTGAGTTCCAGACTGCAGTGCCACTAGGGTCTGTTCCCTCACTGACTGCAGGTACCAGCTCAGCTGAGTGGCTGTATGGCTAAGGAGCACGGTCAAGGTCAGGGTGCTGCCAGGACTGGGCAGTGCTGAATTCAGGCTCAGGTTCCCAGGTGCTAGTGAATAAGCCAAAACAGAAGAAAGTCAGGAGGAAAAGAAGAAATTTTCAGAATAAACTTGGTGCTTCTGCTGCTACTTCTCCACCATCAATCAATCAGTCAAACAATCAAGAAAGCATTTATTCAAGTGCCTCTTCTGTATCAGGCGCTGGAGATACAAAGGGAAAAAAAAATGAAATAGCTCTTGCCTTTTAGGATACAACAGCTTGTTTTCCAGAGCCTTCTAACCAAGGTTCTACCAAATAAATTATCAGGATGTTTTATTTTTTCTTCTGAAGGGTATGGGGACAGGAGGAGGGAGGGAAGGAGTCTACACTGTACTCTCAAAACCACCTCACTCTCCCTTACTCTCCAGGGCTTTTGCTTTGCCCTGAACCAACTTGATGGGTCCCATGCTGGATGCTCAGCATTTGGAACCACTACAGTTTCTATTTTCCACCTCTCCTCTTGTCCCTTGGAAATGGGTGTTCTGGTCAACTCTGGCTTACTCTCTCTGATCTTGACTCCAACTCTGTGGGCCTGCTCCCTCCCTCCAAAGGAAGGGAATTTGACTGGCTTGTCCAAAGTTAAGGTTCCTATTTTGCTGTTGTTTCAGTAGTCCCTAGGAGTTCAGAAAAAGGATGCCTGCACAAATCTGGATAGATCTCTTTGCCCTTACAAATTTCCTGTGTTTGACTGGGTGTGACTGAGTTTACAGAGCCCCATCAAAGCTACCTGTGGCTTTAGTGATAAGGAATAAGGAATATTGCCCTGAAGTTTCCTCCTCTGGAACAGATTTGGGCTAGCAGGCCGGCAAAGACTCCCATCCTGTCCATTTCTGCCCAGAGGTCTCATGACTTTGAGCCATAAGCCCAAGACCTGTGTTTACAAGGACATTTATAAAGTACTACCATTCTGACACCCTCTAATTAAAAGGGCTAGAATCTTCCTTTATTGCCAGGAGTCTGGGATTTTCAAAGGGCTTATAAGGATGAAAGATTCAGATCAGATTAGAGGGCAGAATTGCCTTGCTACACTGATTCAGAGGAATGAGGAGGGAGACACAGGGGGCACAGAAGTCATCTGGTCTCATACCTGCTGTTCCCTTTCGCTGTTTGCCTTGATTAGTTCTGCACTGGCTCCTCTACAGTCTCTTTGCCATCTCCCATCTTGCCCCTTTGGCATAAATGTTCTGACCAGCTCTATCTTACTCAATCAGTCAATAGGCATTTATTAAGCAATTACTGTATGTTAAGCACTAGGGATACACATAGAAAAGAAAGTCAGTTTCTTTCCTCAAGAAGCTTACATTCTCTGATCAGGACTTGGGGCCGTCCCTCCAATGGAAGGGGGCTTGGCTGGCCTGCCCAATGCATACCATTGACATGGCCACAGATCCTCCTCTTGGTCAGTCACTTAACCATAATCAATACCAGACCCTCCTCACCAGGTGGCTGCAACTGGCAGTATGCAGTGTTAGGACGATGGAAGATGATGCAGTTACAGGAGTCGGGATACAAGTGATAGCAGGGATCGTGATGGTGGTACATGCTGGCGTTCCATCCATGCCCAGGGAGACAGAAACAGTTGAAGACCCCACCATGTTTTGCAACACATACTGTAGAAAGCATGAAATAGGCAAATTGACCAAGAAAACCAAGGCCCAGTCACCACCTTATGCCCTGGAGCCAGCTACTGAGAGCCACCCAGAAAGAGCACCTAAGTCACAGAATAACAGGGTCATTCACAACCAAACAATTAAGAGAATAGCTGAAGATATGACTTTATGTATCATTACAGAGGAGGAAGCCAAGATCAATGAGTGGGCGTGATCCCTGAATCATACATAGCAGGAAAGGGTAGGTAAAGTATGTGATCTGGGTTTGAATCAGCATCTAGAAAGGACACTACCTGCAATGCTCTCTCTCCTCATCTCTGACCTGCAAAACCCCTGACCCCATTTAAGGCTCAGTTCAAGTTACCACCAGGAAAGACACAAGTTCTTTTCTGATCTATCCCCACTTCCCCCTCCCCAGACCATTGTAATCACTTCTCCCAAGTCCCATTTTGTATATGTTTTAAATTTACTCCTTGTGTGCACTTTATCTGCCTTCCTCCTACCACCCTCCAGCAAAATACAAGCTCTTTAATGGCAGGGACTGTCTTAATTTCTTTCTCTGTTTCCCAAGAGTCTATAGTAGGCCTGGGTGAAGGGGGTGGGGAAGTAGGGAAGCCCATGCATACTTTGAAAAAAATAAAAGCACTTACCTAGTCTATGTCTTGACAAGTAGTCCTAGCCTCATTCTCCTAGGGATTGTCACCAGCACTTTAGCTGGCTTCATGAGGACTGAGGAATGTGGCTGCTAGCTGCCCACTCCACCTCTTAACCCCCTTCCCACAAAAGGCACTGAGAATTGAAAGGTTGAGAGCATTGTCCTACCTCCTTCTTACCTGTGGTAAGACTGATGGCAATCAGATCTCTCAGGGATAGGGGAAGAGCTGGGTTCCTAAAGGAGGATAGGTCCCAGGTCTTTTCTAGGACTTCCATTTGCACATAGGCAGTAAAAGGAGTTGTTTCTAGAAGAATAGAGGTGGCTATAGAATCCAGGGTGCAGAATGAGGGTTGCCTCTGACCTGGCTGCCCTCTTAATTCCTACACTCATCTACAAGGATTTGGCACCAATGGCAACAGGGGCTTCATTCCTCTGCCCTAGAAGTCAACCAGATAGACATTTCTTCCTGTGTCTATCCGTGGTCTTAGCTCCTCCTCCCTCCCTTTGCTCAAACTGAGGTCCCCTTGGGATTAGCTCACCAGCTGCTTGCCCTGGTTGGTTTGTGGGCCACCTGGCTTGTCCCTCTGTTGCCAAACTACAAGTTTCCTGCAATAGAGCACAAAGGAGAACTCTAAGAAGGCAAGGTTTCCCCGGGACCTAAACAATCTCTGGCTGTGTCCCAGGGACTTCACCCTTCTAAGACCTCCACCCCGGCTGATTCCCCTCCAGTTTTCTTCATCCTGGAACTTTTCTAACCTCCTCTCCGGGCCTGAAAATGATTGTGAGTAGAAGACAAGATTACTTGTGGTGAGGTCAACCTTCCTCTGGAAGGAGGGATTATGCAAATTTGGGAAAGTCAACACACTTTGTTTAGTCCCTTCCTACATTTACGTATTTCTGAGCTTCCAGGTGGTGGCTAGATTCCAGGAGTTTTGGCCTCCCAGTAGAAATTGGATAGAGCCTGGGGGACTGACCAGCCTGGTACCTGCTAAAATCTGTCTGCCAAATAGATAGAACAGAAACTCCTGGAGGGCAGGGACTATTGAATTTTACCTTTCTAATCCAGCACTAAGCATAGTGCCTAGCACAGAGTAGGCATTTAGTAAATGTTTGTTGATTGACAACAGTCAGCAAGGACGGGAGAACTTAAATAGTCAAACTTCTAGCCTACCTTCCCTCTTGTGTTATTTCTTTCTGTTTAAGAAAAAAATACTTATGTACTTCACACCCATCCGCAAAACAAATATTCAGATACACAAACAAGTATGAGTTCAAAGAATGTGTTATTGTAACCTTCTATTATTTACAATCTGTTTTTTTTAAAGTGTATTAATTTTTACAAGGTAATAATAACAAAATCATTCTGTTTATTTCTGTAACCCTTAGGGAGCAGTAGAACACTGGAATAAGGTTCCAATCTTGCATAACATACTCCCTAGCTGTAGGACCCCAGACAATTCAGTGTCTGCATCTGTAAAATGGGGCATAACAATAACACCTACCTCACAGGGTTATTTTGAGGAGCAAATGAAATATATGCTTTGCAAAACTTAAAGCTTAAAAACTCAGTTTTTCTCCTTTCCTTCACCTTCCCAGCTGGCCTTCCTTCTTACATATACCTTTATATCTCCTATTCATCACTCCCAGTCAGGCCCTATTATCTTTCTAGGAGAAGACCTTGCTGTTTTGCTTCAGACTCAACTACATTTCCAGTGGGCTTCCTCCCTTCTGTCACATTTATTCTAGAAAATATAAAGTCTTTTCTGATGACAGTTAGGGTACAGGGTAGAAATATGAAAGAAATATTTTATTAACAACATAGAAGTGATTTATAGTACCTGTCAGATTTTAAATCTCAGCTCTGACACCTCTAAGGTGAGTAACCTTGGATAAGCCATTTAATTTCTCTTGGCCAATTTCCTCATATGTAAAATGAGTGGGTAGGATTAGATGATTTATCTCTTAGGTCCCTACCAGTTCTAAATCTGTGAAAGCTTCATGTGATATTTTATTTCTCTCTCAATACAATAGAAAAGGAGACAGTATCTAAAATGTAGGTCAAACCTCTTTATCTACAAGTAGATATAGATATATAGACAGACAACAGACAGATGGATAGGTAGACAGACAGACAAATAGGATGTCTGGGAATCCTACACCAAACCTGGTCTCTGCTTAGACGCTACTTCTTCTCAAGTAACCTTTTTTTTCATCCTCTACCTACCCAAACCCTATTTCCCTCTTGACAAAGCACATAAAATACTCTTTCCTCACAATCTGCTTCCACAGAGTATGCCATCCTTTCCAGATCCTCCTTTTCTCCTCAGGCCAAGGGCAACCCTGGAAGAAAGAAGCTACCCCAAGCTTTCAGTGATACTCACAGTTTGAGATGCTCTGATAGCCTGGGGACCCATCAGGTGGAAGTTGATGGCCAGAAGCAGCAGGCTAGCCATCAGGGTAGCAATGGGAAAGATTGGCAATGGAATGGCTAAGAGGATTTCTCCTGTTGGTTGTCTTATGGAAATTTCCAAAAAGGGCTGCCAGCAGTCAGTGCATCAATAGGATGGGAGGGGATGATGAAAGAATGGAAGGAACAGGGATGAGACTTAGAAAGGGAAGTGCCACACACCACAAATGTATCCAGTCAAATGGATGGGGGAAGGGAGTGATCTCTCTACTTTTCCCACCTGAAGCCTGTGGGTACAAGTTGAGAGCTCTGGTCCAGCTTACTTCTGATTGGGTATGGGCCCAAGCCAAGACCTTTGCCCCTTATCCCAGAAGAATTGTTTGAGGGGGGTACAGGCTCTGGAAACCCCCACCTTGAACTCCTTGAATTTTCCCACTTGATCAAGGATGTCTCTAGCATTTGCCTGAGGCTATAATCCACTCAACTTGCCTTTCATTGTGACTAGGCTCGATATCCCAATTCTGTTACCTCTGACCCACCCAGCCCTTCATTGTCTGTTACCTTGCCACCTTTCTCCCTTGGACTTGTGGTCTAGGTCCCTGGCATTTCTCCTGTCCTTCTCTGTTACCTCATGGTCACCCCAGCTTACTGGCCACTTCCTTCCAGATCCTTCCTAGAGGATCACAGTAATCTCAGTATACTCAGACTACTTGGCCACTCCTAGATCCCTCCCACAGTCTTTCTGTACATAAGGTCCATCTTGGCCACCTTTAAGGTGCTAAGATTCACTCTAGCCCACTTGTCAATATGAGCGTCACAAATGTTCAGATTCCTTAAGAGTCTAGCCAATATGGTAGATCTTTAATAAACTTTGTCTTTGGCTGAAAGAAGGCTTGGGTTGAATTCATTTGGATAGGACCTGTGTGTTGCTATTTTGGAGTCCCAGTACCCCTAAACTTCTAAACCTCAACACTTTTAGGACTCGGAACAGTTAACATTCAGTTCAATTCAACTCAATTCAAAATTTATTTACTCATTACATACCAGACACCCATCCATTTGGCTAGAGACATTTGTTGTGAGTGTCACTTCCTCTGGTAAACTCTACTTACTGAACCTTTCCTTCCTGCTAACCATTTACTTGCCAGTCCATTTTGGAAATTTATATAAGTTTATGACAAAAATGAAAACAGTCCCTGCTATCCAGGAACTTATATTCTACTTGGGGTAAGCAACAAGTAGATACAAAAATACTTTGGACTAGACCTGGGATTTCATCAGTATTTCACCTCTGCAAAAAAAATAAAACAAAACCAACTAAACAAAAACCACACATTTAAATTTAATCTGCATTATTAACACTTTCTCAATCACTGTCTTGAGTCTAGACCAGGCCTCAAGGCCACAAGTTCCCCACCTTTGGTCTAAATAGTCAATAAAATGACTAATCAAGCCCTGATTTGTAAATTTTCTAATTTCCACAGGTGTAAATGTTTACCTTGAAAATGTAACAACCGGCTCTGCAGTAAACTGACTCCAGTAGGCCCCTGAGTAGGGCCTTCCGAGGGAGAACCTTCCTTGAACATTTTGAAGGTCATTATTTAAAATCTTAGAAAGTTGCTTGGGGCGCTGAGAGGTTAAATGAATTTCCCAGAATCACAGAGCCAGCATATGAATGTTGGCTAAGAAAGATTAATACTGTACTCTGTCTTTTAGGCACAAATCTATTACAATTTTTAAAATTAATTTAACATTAATCTAAATTCAAGCATTGTCCTTCTTGAGAGAGAGATGTCCTGACCAATAGAGTCCCTTCAGCTCCCTAGATATGTTTTTGTTTTTGTGTTTTTGCTTTTTAGGCAATTGGGATTAAGGTCCTCCTGACTTTAAGGCTGTGCCACCTAGCTGTTCCCCCCACCCATATGTTTTTAACACAAGACATTTTGAATTAACATTTACAGAAAAACAAGGGAAATTTTTTTTTTCGTGATCAAACACAGTTTGGAGTTAACATTCTACTTGGTCAAACAGAATTTGTTGTTGTTCAGTCGTTTTCAGTCATGTCCAATTAACTCTTCATCATCTCATTTGAGGTTGTCTTGTCAGAGATACTAGAATGGTTTGCCATTTCCTTCTCCAGCTCATTTTACAGATGAAGAAACTGAGACAACCAGGATTAAGTGACTTGCCCAGGGTCACACAGCTAGGAAGTGTCTGAGGCCAGATTTAAACTCAGGAAGATGAGTCTTCCTGACTCTAGGCCTAGGGCTCTATCTGCTGTGCCACCTAGCTGTCCCAAGCCCCCTAAAATATACCTGTGGGGTAACAGAAAAAGGTACAAAGGAAGCTTCATTTAATCTGATTCTCAGCTGGAGTTTCTATCCTGAGAAGACACAGTTGCAAGATTTTAAAGTTTCACAGAAAATATGGTGAGATTAGACATCTTTCAGGCTCTGAGGCTACTGGGATCAAACCTGGATGAGCTGTCTCCTCCCCTCCATTGCTGCAGGTGTTTGTGCTGGCATCCAGTGCTGAAGAAGAATGCTGGGAGAGTACTCTTTAAAGTGCTTGTTTTTCCTGTTCAACTAACTTATGGTGATAAGTGAGTGTAGAGAGCAGCACTGAAAGGACACCCTACAAATGTTTTCTGCAAGTTTGGGTAGCTATAGGGTGAGAGATGGGAGGTGAGAATATCTGCTCATTAAGCCTCATTTTTTTCTTTTCTATCTTGTATTCTATTCTAAGTTACCTAAAAAAGCATTTAAAGTATTTTTCTCCTCTCCAGATTGTACTCTTTACTGTTCCAGGCTTTCTTTATAATGCTCCCAAAACCTCTTCATCCTGAAAGCTTCCTCCATCCCTGGATTTCACACACTAACACATTAGTAGCACCCTCTGTCCCACAGACTCTCCCTTTGATTTGCTGGTTCCTCTCAGAATCTCTCTTATAAGTGTGGCACCAATGCCAGTTATGTCTTCATTCTTCATCAGGCTATATTCTCAACTCTCCTAGACCTCCTCAACATACTTTCCTAGAATCAAATGGTTGATCAAATGATCACTCAAACGATGATTGCTGCTGTATAAGTATAGCTTAGTCCCATCATCTCCCATCTTCACCAGCAGAAAGCCCCTGATTATTTTGCACATCATCAGAAGTCCAGGTAATATTGTTCATTTACCTATCTACCTGCCTATTTATCTAATATTTAATATTAGGTGTCTTCCTATGGTTTCTTCCCTGACACCTACAAATGTGTTCACATCTCCCCAATCCTTTAGAAATTCTCATAAGATCTTAGCATACTAAGCATAGCTATCATCCTAGATGTCTCCTCCCTTTCATAGCCAAACTCT